GCATGCAGGCCCCCGCCGGCACCAAGCTGGTCAGACTCTGCCAGGCCGCAGGTGAGAGCACGGAGGCGTAAGCTCCATGGTGGTAGTAGCTGCTCTGCTAGAAGCATCTTCTCACAGCTCTTTGCAACATCCTAACCCAAACCCAACATCCAAGATTGTTCATTGTTTTGTTTTTTTTAAATTTTTTATTTGGAAAGACAATCTTATAGATGTCATCAGAAATCATCCAAATAAGTTATTGCATCAATATCTATTAATTCTCACATCCATACAGTTAATTCATTACTCACAATTTCAAATAATGCATTTTCAAATAGGAATTAAAAGACACTTTACTGTTCAGTTCACATATATTTAGTGGGCAATTATTCCAATAACTGATGCAAGATAAATAACTGTTCTCTTTAGGGCATTTGGTTTTGGACATGGTAACGTCATCTGACCACCATTGGCTGACTATTTGGTTATATAAGAAATTCCGATCTTTAAATTAACTTAGTTTATTTATTTTTATTTTATTTCTATATTTTATTTTATTTTTTCTATGACTTCGATGTCAAATTTCACTTCAGATGTTGGAAAATTCATATGTATAGGCAATCATAAGAAGAGGTTGTACTGTATTCTGTTTTAGACCCAAAAACAATTTGACATTTGGATTTTCATTATTCCGGACAATCAGGACAATATTTGCTATATCGACTGTAACAACTAGTAAAATGGTTTTTGGTAAAAAAATAAAAATAGGGAGACTACTGAGAATCATCATCAGGGGGCCGTGTGGAGCTGGTGATGACTCTGATGTCTTCCGGCTGACGTTCCAGGGTCGGATCAGGAGTCGGAGTGCCAGCAGTGCTTCTGCAGACCCATGTGGTGTCTGATGTGTCTGGGCCGGTGGTTCGCCAGCCGCCAAGACCAGCAGAGGCCCGAGACCTGGCTGTCCAGCAGGGTGCCCTGCCCCACCTGCAGGGCCAAGTTCTGCATTTTGGACGTCTGCGTGGTCCGGTGACACGCCCGTTTCTGTACCCATCCAGTATCTTTACCAAAAGTCAAAGGAGCATAAAATGCTTTTTTTTTTGTTATCCTGTGTCTTTTTCTGCTTTTTCGGTAAAGAAGTACAAGGAAAGTCGAGGTGCAAAGCACTGAAGGCAACTGTAAGTCCGTTTTTCTTCATTGACGAGAGGAAAGCTGACCCAGATAAAGGGAAAGCCTCCATCCGGTCAGGCCACTGAACGTCGGCAGCACAAAAGCCTGTTGTCGCTCACAGTTGAATCGTTTTTAGTGGAATTACAGGATATCGTTGGAAACATCAGGTGAACTGAGATTAAACTGAAACCCCACACTGTGTCACACTGGATGAAAGAAGGATGAAAAATACACACTTTTTTCCAGATTTGATACTTAAATTGCTCATTTTTAAAAACCAAAGTCGTACGGAATAAATATCCATGATACAAAATGACACTATGATCAGAGGTGTGATTTATTTATATTTATATTTACCTGCTGTCCACCGTATCCACGTCCAGGTTACTTCCCGTTATATTTGAATGCCTTCTTAAGCTATTAGTTTTCTTTTTTTTCCCTTTTTCATCAGGTGCAGAACAACGGTGGTCGGCGGATTTATTCGACCTTTGACCTTTTAATTAGCCCTCGTTTTGTCTTTTAATGGTCCCCAGCTGTAAGTTTTACTGAGACACAATTGAACATTCCCCTAAGCTTTTGAACGCATTCAAATCAGGCATTTTTTAATGAAAATTTCTCGGATAAATTGACCGTCACACTAATGAGATTTTCGTATCAAAAGCTTGAACGTCCCATCTCTGAGGTACAGTGAATGCAGCATAGAAGATAAAGATGGAAGAGGCCAGACAGTCCTTGTTAACAGGTCAGAAATGTGGGGTCCCGAACAAAGACTTTTGAGTTACTGCCGACTTCAGATATCCTCATATACCCCTCAAGATATTTTTTCTGCATCCCTTTCAAAATCTGTGCGAAGTGCCCTTAATGGATGTTTGGAGTGAACTCCAGTTTACTCTGATGTGAGCGGAGCGTGTGCATCCGGCCGAGAGATCCAGTCCCGTTATCCAAAGTCCAGTTTCTTTGTATCACGATTAAATGTCTACCATCAGGATCTACAGTTCGTGTACACGCAGAATGAATACTATTTAAAAATACAATTTGGGACAGGTTTGAGAACAGTTGGACTGTACGGCTCCTTCCACCAAACAGCTTTTGGAATAGCACACTATAAAAACATCCCCAGCACAAGGAGTCATTTTTCAGATGCTTTTATTTGTAATGAATCACCTTTCTTAGAAACATACTTCCTACCGACAGGCTTAAACGGCTATAAAAATCACTGCGTAATACTGAAAACTGTTTGGACTGAATATCAGCAGTTCGTTTGAATCTTCGTGGAGCTCACCGCTTCCCGAAGATGTTCCATTCGTGTGAGAAAACAAACTCAAAAGTCTCTACAGTTAGAGGTTAGGACATCCTCGCATAGATCCGCAGAGTCGTCTGCACAGCTGGAGGTTATTGCTGTGGGCGCGCGATTTAAACGACTTGAGAAATAAAAAAAGGAACCCACAAATCTCCTATTCCGTTAAAAAGAACACTAAGTAAAAAGTAAAGACTCACTCCTAGAGTGCTGCCCAGCACTACAGCCATTTCTTACTTCACAAGAGAGTTCCCATCAGTGCCCTTGCTCAGAGTGGCTGTGGAACAGTCCATTTTTTTCCGGCCGAGGATGATCAGCCTACCAGCTGAGCCGTGAACCCCCCCATACCACCACACCGCTCCCTCCGTGCCTTTCCTCCTGAAGTCCTCCAGTGTCCTCCCGGTCATGGTTTGGATGACTGACGCTGACTGAAAATCCTTTAAAAATCCCGATTAAGACCTTTTCTCCTCAAAGCCAGAAGCCTCAAATCTCGCAGCGAACTGTCCGGCCGACATGAGGGCAGACCGGGAGAGGAGCCCTTCTAGCTCCAATAATACGAAATCAAAAAGGACCTCTCTTACAGATATTTGTTTTTAATACCTTTCGTCTTAGTAAATGTCACAATTTATTCTTGTTTTTGTGCCTCGTGCAGTAACTGTAGAAGATCTTTTTACAGAAACACATATTTCGAGATGGTGTGGTCTCTTCTACTTGCACATGAAGCATTACCCCAGGCCTTCCACCTGTAGTTCTAATCCTGTAGTCCACCCTGTTCTCTTCCACGCCGCCGTTGTGTTCCCGACAAAAGAACCGAGAACTTTTTCCTTCACTGCGTCGCTCAGAATTTCTACCGAGTTGGGAGTAATACGCTAACGGCTAATTAGATGAGGGTTAAAGGGAGGAAGTGTGGTCTGAGGTGTGCTCATAGTTCCATTATTAAAGAGAGCCGTGTGCGCAGATAGCTTTGGATCACTCTGCCCAAAGTGACACAGTCCCAACACTTATTTTCTTAGCTTGCTGCCATTTTGGATTCTCTAATGTGACCAATTCAGATGCTGTTCCGTCCGTCCAGTCCTGAGCTCCTCATCTCCTCACGCACCCTCTGGGTGTCCACTTCGCTGCTCACAGCGTGGCGCCCTTCACTCCTGCAACACAAAGAGGACGCGGTCAAACTTCTACCGCAGAAAAACTTCCACTTTGGTGTTCTGAGACATCAACCATAATCTGAATCTCTTACGAGGAATAAGAAGAAATAGAAAGCTTCACATCCCAACCATTCTACTTTTTGTGGATTGTACATCCTAATTCAGTGTACTGCTCTCTAGTGCCTCGCGTTTTCAAATGGGTGCTGCAGCTATATTAGCATCAAGAAGTAATGACAACATGACTTCCACACCATCCAGTTTTCTCTCGGGTGATGAGGTTTGTCATTTAAAATAAATTACAAACTACATTGAATTATTAGTGTGAGCACATAATTACTCCTCGAACAAGATAGCGAATTACCATGGTTGCCATGTTAGTTTCTTTTTTTTGTTTGTAGTTTGCAATTATTACAGCTGGTTTTCGGTCATGTGAGTCAGGCTCAGAAGGAAAATGCGTTGTGGATTAGCTAGACAGGTAGACTAGTGCTTTATGTCCCTCTCTGCCATTCTAGTTTTTCAAAATGGCGGAACGCCACGGGAACCTCTGTGGATTTACCGTCCTGTGTATGTACAGATAGGAAATTCTTCACTTTTGAGAAGTCTAATCATTGCAGAGGTCATTTGACACCAAATGAGGACACATTTTAGCTAATAGAATACTTGAAATACTATACAATGTCCCTTTAAAGCTAAGAGTCCACTTCATTCTAATCCAATTAGAATACAACCACTTTTTCTTCATCCAACTCCAGTTGGTTAAATATATTCAAATGCCAAAAATGCTCCTCCCTGTGAATCAGAAAAGCACACAGGCCTACTCCTGAACGGTGTCAGGACATTCTACATGGAGGGTTATAGGGAGTTCAATAATCCTTCACCGGTTCCAGAAGGAACGGGAAAAATCGCTGTATCTTAAATGACTGTCACAGATGCGAACTTCTGTTGATAAACTCATGCTCGTGATCCTTGATGGACTAAAGAAGATCACGCTGAGTGCAAACCTGGAATAGGACGGAAGTAAGATGAAGGGCAGCCGGTAGACCTACGACACTAAAACCAATGGTTTCAACAGGGGGAGGCGTTTGATCGCTAAATGCTGCGTTTGTCCGCCGAACCCCCTTCACCAGCGGTGGACGGTTCTGGCCACTTGGGAGCAGCAGCGACCAGCTGTCAGGGTAGCTCCACCCCCGGCAGGAACAGGGGCCCATGATCCTGCACTTTGCATGAGCCAATGAATGAAACCCCGTCAGCCTCTCTCCATTGTTTTTGTTCTCAGCCAATGAGGAGATCTGGCTCCAGAGCTGCAGGATCCTTCACTGTGAAGACCAGCTGGTGCTCATTTACAAACCCCATGGGGTGAAGATTAGTGTAAGGTCTGTAAAAGAGACCATACAGACACCATGGGTCCAGAAATACTACAGACCCGGCTTTAGAGAGTTTGCTGCTATACTCCTTTCCCATTTCTGCGCAAATACTATGGAGGATTATTACTAGTACTATAAAGGTCGGTAATCAGGAGAACCAAAAAGTGCCATGCAGAAGGGTTCTCACATTTATTGCTTCATTGCACGGATTTAAATGGATTTTCATGACACTAAAACAAAAGCAAATTTCAGCCCCTCTTTGTCAAAGCGCAAAATTTGACCTGCTGCTGCTGGTCACATGATAAGTCCAATTCATTTCATAGGTATGCAGTCTATCGGCACGTGATGGAGAGCGATCCTCCCGCTAGTGTCGTGCATCGTGGAGGCGGTGGAACGGACTCTCCAGGATCCAGACCTCCTCCTCTATGGCTTTAGCGTTCCTATGTTCCCACCAATCCCCTTGTTTCTTGAAGGAGCTGCTGTCTCCGACACACACGCGGCGCCCCGAGCAACCCGATGACCAGAAGCACACGAAGCTCCGAACTCCACAAAGCTGCACTTTACGGAAGAGTGGACAGGAAACAAAGAAAGAGTGCCAAGTGTTCGGAATACACCAAAGAACACTTCTTTGTTCAGTGATACGGCCTAAGGCCTTCAAAGCCCTGTGGTTGGAGCTGGACTTCACAACCAAAGGTGCGGTTTAATATTTCGGGCTATAGTTTTAATATGCTCACGTACGAATACATCTGCCATATAATGAGCGTGTATATAGGAGGTACATGGACACAAAGGCCCTCTGTTCTGCTAAGAACACCAAGATGCTGCCAAAGCTCCCATCTGCTGTGGTAAACCATGAGGTACACAGAGAACTATCGGCCCGGAGCTCAAGATGTCTGCAGGGCTCCGATCGGGACCCAGACCTCGGGCCACAACGAAGCTAACGCGCCATTATTCTCCCCGCTAACTCCTGGCAGACTCGGTGGCTCTGAGAAAATAACACACACCCTGACTTTCCACCAGCTGCTGCCGTCTGACAGGCTGAGGATGACTGTGTTTTTTCCCCTCCTTGTGTCAAAGTATGTTGGAGCAGATGGCCTGCAGCGGCAGAGTGGGGGAATGTGTTGGAGAGACTGCTGAGGAATGTGCCAAGTGCAAAAGAGAGTGTGCGCTGTGTGTGTGTGTGTGCGTATGTGTGCGCGCGTGCGGTTTCAGCTCGCGTGCCTTCTCACTGCCCTCTGCCCTTCATGGCGCCAGCTCTACTTCCCCTTCACTCTAAACATCTGGTGTCTAGGACTTCCACAGAACACACACACACACACACACACACACACACACACACACACACACACACAAACAGAGGAACAGCCAGCAGGGAGAAAGCTCTCTGCTAGCTTACAGGGAACAGAGCTGTACACACTCATGGCCTCTCCAGTGGAAGTATTTCGTATTTCCATCCTGAATAACCTACTTCAAACCATTGCTGCTGTGCTTTGGGTCATATCCCAGATAAATTCCTCTCAGAAATAAGAAGTAGAGAGTATACATTTTTCTACTTTGAAACAGCACCCAATTTAGCTTGATCCTATAAACTGTCCCCATATAAAGAGGACCTGCCTCTATTCTTATCTATGGATATATGTACAGTCCATAATCAATCACATCCCTGGCAAAACTCTCAGACGTCTGTTTTATGTCAGATGTAACCACAATTGTTTGTTTAGCCACAATGATGGTGTAAAAGGAGAAACCTTCAACCCTAACAACACTATCCCCGATGTCTTTAGCTCAGAACCCACCCCGTTCTAAGCCAATGGACCGGGGAACATGGACACAGCAATGGCACCATGGGAAAAGAATCCTCCAGATTCTCAACAGCAGCATCCAGCAGTCTGCAGAACTAGTCCTTGGATCTCAGTGGGTATTTGAACGCCACATGGCCCAAAACACACAGAGAACGGTGCAGATACGGTTGGTGGACGACAACAGTGGCTCAGACCGAGTCTTCACCTGAACCCCACTCGGATATCTGGGGGGAGCTAAAGATCAGGCTGAGTTGGAGCTCATCAGCAAAAATACCAACGGACAAATCCAACAGGCTGGTCAACACTTTTAGGATGTGTTTGACTAGCCAATAACAGCTTTGGATAGCATGCTTCTTTCTATTCAAACGTGCACAACAGCTGACAAACAACTTTGTCCTCAATGTTGCCCCTGGGACCGCTTATCTTCTGGGAGACCTTTGTGTCCTTTTCCACCGAGAAAAACCCGCTAGTTGAAAGTAACTTGAAGTCAAAGATCGCACTGAGATCAAAAACAGTCCTGATTCCCCCGTGAATCCCCAGCTGGACCATGCCTGGAAAATGGTGGGAGCCCTACCTTCCTCTTTTTGCTCCTGCCCTCAGCCTGCAGGGTCCTGGTACACTGCTCCACACACTGAGAGAAGCTCACACTGCTGTGGTCTGGACTGTAGTCCAGTTCGGCCAGTTGAGCCAGGGACAGAATGTAGTTGCAGGCGATGCGTAATATAGCCAGCTTGGAGAGCTTCTGCCCATACGAGTAACATGGCACCTGGAGAGTGAGAGAAAAGAGGGAAGTTACTGTCTTATAATGCCCCGGATAGTGGTCAGTCAGCAGAGAACGCTTCAGAATTGATATGCGGAACATGGTGAGAAAAAGTATGGTTACGGTGTAAGAACAAGTCCTTCCTAGATCTTTTTAGAAGACTGGAAAAACTGGAAAAATATGAGCAAAGCTATTCCAAAAATGGAAACTTCTTTGAACTGGAAAATAACCCTGACTGGCAGCCATCCCATTCAAAGCTGCCACTGATTACACTTTATACATTTATATATTGTGTTTGCATTAAAACATGATCAACCGTGGCGCCCTGCGGGACACCAGCGCCATTTCAGAAGCTGACCTGCTTCCTCAGAGCCTCAAACGCAGCACTGATGGTGTGGACTCGGGTCCTCTCCCTGGCATTGGCCAGAAGCCTCCGGGTCTGCTGGATGGCTTTGACTTCTGGAATACGTCCTCGTGAGTCAGAACCGGAGCCGACGCGCTTTTTGGGAGACTCCTAACAGAGAAAGACCAGAAACTCAATTCACAAAACGATTCCTTCTTTCCTCTTTGGCTGGAGAAACAATGACATTAGTTTACTCCACCCCCCCGCGCCCCTCAGATGCAGCAATAAGCCTTGGCACAAACTTGGGTCATCTTTGGCTTTACTACACGCCTGAACTACAAAATGATCATGATGCCTCCTGGAGCTGTAGATTAGAGCATCAGCCTGTAGTTTACGTCCACCTGGAACTGGCATCTTCAATTAAAAGCAGGTCCTCGTGTCATGGGAATAAACTGCTACTGCTCAAGTGATCAAGAACTCTGTCAAGAATCCAACAATCAGCTGAGTCTATGATCTGGTTCAAGCTATCAAGTTCACAAAAAACATTCCCATGTCTTAGCACCATCGCTTCACAGCAAGAAGGTTCTGGGCTCTAGTCCCCGGGGGAACCAGGACCTTTCTGTGTGGAGTCTGTATGTTCTCCCTGTGTCTGTGTGGGTTCTCTCCGGGTTCTCCGGCTTCCTCCCAACGTAAACAAACCTGCATGTTAGCTTGATTGGACATTCCTAATTGCCCTTAGGAGTGAATGTGAGTGTGTGTGGTTGTTGGTCCTTGTGTATCTCTGTGTGACCCTGGGATGGACTGCGGACCGTCCAGGGTGTACCCCGCCTCTCGCCCATTGACTACTGGGATAGGCTCCAGTCCCCCCCGCAAACCCCATTAGGGAATAAGAGGTTACAAAAATGGATGGATGTCTTAAATGGTCATGCAGGGGAAGTGGATTTGTAGTTATCTGCTAGATAAACCCAATCACCCAACAATCTGAAGTGGTGCAGAGGAGACTTCAGCAGGCATTGGCCTCATCCCACTAGGGACCATTACCTTAGGTGAAGGCACATGGATGTCCATGTGTTCCATACACTGGGAGGACTGGGAAGCTCTGGGGACCGACAGGTCTGCCGAGTGTCCAGGCATGGAGGGCTCCAGAGGATAGTCCTGGTAGCCGGGAGAATGGCTGCCGCTGGCGGAGGACAGAGGGAAGGAATGGAGGCCCAGCTTGAGTCTGTTGGACAGAGGCTGCGAGATAGAGGTGGGCCAGTGGGAGATCTCCTGGGTTGACAACGGAGAGGCGGGCGACGGGCACATTCTGGAGGCCATGGCGGGCACGTTGATGCCAATCCTCATGTCTATGGCTCCGCTCTGACCCGGGGACATGCCGCCCTCCGGCGCTCCGGACAGAGTCCCCGAGCTACCGGCCATCATCTCCTGCGTCCTCATGAGCGTCCGCTGAAGCGGGGCCAGCTTGCTGACGTTGTGCACCCCCATGTGGGCGTCATCCACCGAGTCCACGTCCAGCAGGTCCGCGGGGAAGGCCTTCATCCGCTCAGCCTCGGGCCCCGGGAAGAGTCTTTTGGGCTCTCTGGACTTCCTCTTGAACTTCTTGTTGGCGCCGGACACAGACATCAGAACCGGTTCTTTGTCGGTGGAGACGTAACAGGAGTTGTTGAGGACTGGAGGTTTCTTCATTTTTGCCAAAACAGACTGAAGCAGACCCGGTTCGGTGGCAGTCAACAGGCGAACAAATCCATGGAAGTGTATCCAACAACAGAGTCAGGAAAGATCACGATTCGATGCTGGAACCTTTTCGCTTTTTGGTGCCGTTGCGAAAAAGAGGCAATCAGCAGACAGTCACGCACGCGCCCGACACACGAGCTGAGCAGAGAGGATGTGATCTGCCATGTGTGTTACTTTAACTCTACCAGCAGGTTTTTTTCCCCCCCCTTTTTTTCTGTGGCTCCGCTCTGTCTGCATAGCAGCATCCTGAATAATCCACACTAGAGCCCAAAGCTGCGGAACATCTGCTGTTCCGCGCGGACTGAGGAGTGAGGGAGGACTGAGGAGTGCAGAGAGGACTGAGGAGTGCACAGAGACTCTCCCCTGCAGCAGCAGAGGCTGCTCTGTGCGCGCAGGGCCGGCCTTCCCTCAGAGGGAGCGCACTGTGGAGCTGTCGGAGTGGCTCCAGCCAGTCTGCATAGCAGCGCTCTGAATAACCCTCTGATATGCTGCCTGCAGCTGCCGGACCCCCCCCCCAACTCCCCCCACCCCACACACACACACACTTACCCACACACACACACTCAGCCCCCAGAAAACAACACCCGACAACTCCTCTGACAGGCTTCCACGCGTTTAGCGGGGCGCGCAATGAGAAATGGACCGGAACCCCACAAGAACCCCGGAGGGGGGGTCTTATGTCGGAACGGGGACCGGGTCAGACCGGTATCCGCACATGCCTGAAGACCTGTCAACAGAGAGAAGAGACGCCCCCCCCCCCACCCCCCCCTCGTGCACGCTCTGGAGTGGAAGAAAAGGGGCGCGATGATGGAGAAATGCGTCACTCCGGGGAGGTGAATCCCGATCCGGGTAACGTGGAATGACGGGTCCAGCAGTCCGATCCGCGCGCGCGCCCCACGCCCTCCCACCCCCCCACCCGGCCCAGACAACTTGTCCCGCAAAGCAGCGCGCGCGCAGCGTTCAGGGAGTCTGAAACGGACTCACACAGAATGGGGCTTTGCGCTCCCAGCCCTGGCGTCTGGCTGGCTGAGTTATCTCTCTCACACACACACACACACGCACACTCTCTGTCACACACACACACGCGCAGGCTGGGGCTCGTGCGGTCGGAGCCTACCTGCGGCCGTTCCAAGTCCGCGCGCGGCGGCTCCGCAGCGCCTCCCGGCGGGCCGCGCGGGGCGCGCACGGGAGCCGGACGCGCGCACCGGAGCCGGACGCGCGCACAGCCCGAGCAGAGCCCCCGGTTATGTCACTAACGGTCCATTCAGACCAGAGAGACGGTGCGCGCTGCGGTTACGCGCAGAGGACGTTCCATGGCACGGGTCCACGGATAAGAAAAATAGTTTTTCTCCGTTTTTTGGGGGGGTGGGTTCCCACTTTTCTGGCTCACATCCAGTTCAGTCCTCCCTCTAAACTATCCAAAAACAAAACAAAAATCCAGTTTTACTTTGCTCTTCTCTCACCGTCAATGGTGTAACGGAATAAAAACTGTTCTAATGATAATCCTAATAACGATAATTATATCTGATTAACCACACTATTATATGAGTAATTATGTATAATTATAAATACACAAGAAAAAGCAGTGAGGCATCTGACAGTGAAGCAATTTGGGGCTGATATCTTGCAGTGGGATGCAGATGCTTCTGCACAAACATGGCGTTAAACTCTTCTATCAGTCAGAAAAGGACGTAATACAAAAAAGTAAGCTGATCTGATCTTATTTTAGTTATTTATTATCAGATTTGTTTTCCAGATAGAGAAAAAACTGGGACCATCTTTTAGTCTGTGGATACCTGCTCATGTTCAAATATACAAGCAGGTGTGAAGATAAAAGAGAGTTCTTCCAGAAATAAAAAAAAATGAAAGAAAATAAATTGTATAGTTGTAAAATTCTGTAGAAATTTGCCATGAATATGATTTATGTTTCTAAGACTTAAGAGAATTCTTATTTTTCTCGTAAGAATCCATTGATTTGATATTGTTCAGAAGAAAGTGTGATATGAATTCTGTATTTTTTAAGAACTTTATGTATGTTTTTGAGTTTATGAAAGAAGAATTCAGTGTAGCAACTTTTCTGACATCAGTGGGACACGTGCCAAACCTTGAAGGAAGATTAGTTCCACAGCTTGTCCTTCCATAGAGTGGGATGGTTATTATATTAGTCCTGTAAAATTCTATTGGCAGGCGGTCAGGTTGTCTGGTTGTGATAAATCCAAAAGCAAAAGGAGCTGCTCTCATTCTTCTGAAGCTCAAATGCATTCTGATCTGAGAAAATGTTCAAAAACTAAAACAAAAATGTATTTCCTGTGAATACACTGTCACTTCTCCAGGTGAATTTTTATCAGTGCTTTTTTTAAATTTTATTTCTCTATGCCAAACGTTCCCCAGCCTTTCACCCCCTGATCATTATGAGATTTCTTCAGCCACAATAAACTGTTTGAACTTTATAAGCGAATTATTTTTAGTGCTGAGTTCTCAAGAGTAATATTTCCCTGTTTTGTGGAATCGTCTTTTTAAATTAGATCTGGATTTAGTTTCTGCAAGTTTTCCATGTGTGTTCTTTGTTGTTTGGCTTTGAAGCTTGTGTAGCTACTGTAACCATTTCCCCCTAATGTTGACCTCGATGCCTCCAATCTCATGCTGGCACCGGTCTGATCCGTGTTCAGTTCAAAATAACTATTAAATGAAATACTAAAGAATTGTTAACAACAGTGGAAAAGGAGTTAATGGACTTAAAGGAGTGGTTTGATATCAATGAGTCAGCACTAAAGCAGAATGAAAGCTAAATTTATGGTGTTATGTTGTTTTATTTGATATGCGGCCGATGGGTTCCAGGATGTCGTTTTTTTGCTTTAGGGAAATGTTCACTGTGCAAACAGGAATGTGAACTGAACCACTCTGAACAGGCGTTGTTACACACTTTAATTACATACAATATAATAAGACATTTCAGTACAATCTGAGACATTATTTTAGATCATTTCCCCCTGAAATGAATAAAGTAGTTTTCCTTTTATTTAGAAATATTAGCATCTCATATTTTTATTTCCTCTTACCAAACATGTGCTGAAAGAGTTCAGAGTGAGAAAAAAAAAAGAGCTTAAATATAGCTTCTCATCACAAAAAATACTTCCAGAGTAATAAGCATATTTTAGGGCTGAAACCAAGGCTGGAAGAAAAACTACTCACATTACTTTTATTCATTCATTTTATTTTTCTTTAAGGTGCATTTTTTAGTATTTTCTTTCAAACTCTATAATTGAACTCAAACACAAATATAAATTACATTATGCGTCTTTGCTACATAAAAATTGTAATTGGCTATTGAATAAACCTATCATTTGGGAAAAGAAACGGCTGCGGGCTGTGCTTCAGACAGACCAAAACAGTGAGGTGGGTCACAAAAAAAAACAAAAAAAACACATGGAGACAGAAGACGACCACGATGCAAAGACTGGGAACGGGGCCGGGGATTCTTCGGTTTTCGTGGTCCCGGCGCGAGAGTTTGTCTGTTTGCTGCAGAGCGGGTGAAGCCCTCCCCCTTTTTTTTCCCCACCGGGGGAAAATATCAGGCTAAAAAGAGGCTTTTTTCTGATGGTGGGTCTTCTACATTTTCCGGAAACATTTCCGAACGGCTTCGTATAAAAATGGAACCGCCTTAAGATTTTCTTTCCGTTAACCAAATGAGGCGGAAGTGGGTCAGTAACTATGGAGCCCCTTTTCCCCGTGTTTTTAGGGGGGGGTGTCATCCTTTTAACATCTTCAGTGTGTGTGTGTGTGTGTGTGTGTGATATAGTCCCCTTAAACCCACCTCTCAGAAACGACCACATGGGTCTGAATTGCCACCGTGGTGTAATCGGGGTGGATTTGCTTCCACACATGCTCCATTAGTTTTCACACCAGGTGATTAAGAACCGCCCCGGGGGGGTCGGTTACTAGAACCCAGAGTCTAAAATGGTAAATCCTAGCAGAAAATGTCAGAAAAAGGGGGGGCTTTTGGGCGTGCTACACCAGTATGTCGACTTTCTAAAGTGGGATTTGAACCCCTGTGCGCGTCGTTTTTTGGCTCCATTTCCGTGGAAAGCCTTTAGCTCGCCCGGCCTGGTTAGTGTGTAGGGACCCCCCCCCCCCAGCCGGGGGTGGGGGGGGGGGGGACCGTAGAGTGACGGGGAGCTAAAGTGCCGTGAAGTGAAGGATTCCGGTCGAGCTCGCAGAAATACGGGATGACCACAAGACCGCTGACCGGGAGGTGGGAGCAGATATCGTTTAACGAAAGGTTTTCAAACGAGGGTAATTATACTCTTAATTCACAAAGCGGGGGCTCGTTGGGGGGGGGCTTCCTAAAGCCGGTTTCAGAGAGCTGGGCTACCTCCGGTACAGCCCTGCGTGTCCGGGTACCGATCAGCCCCCGGGCGAGGTTTTTCCGCGTAAGATCTGAAGGGGGTGGACAGAGAGAGAGGGGCGGAGTCCCGGCAGGTGCGGTCAGTCCGAGGCCGGCTTTGGCGGGGGGCCGGCGGGGGCCGGGGGCCTGGGCTTCTTCTTCTTGTAGCTGGGCCAGCGGCACACGGGGCAGCAGTGGCGTCCGGCCGCCAGCCACACGGCCACGCAGTGCTGGTGGAAGGCGTGGCCGCAGGGCAGCCCCATCAGCAGCTCCCCCCCCGCAAAGTCCTCCAGGCACACCACGCACTCGCAGCAGGGCAGCACGCCGGCCGGCCACGCCCACCACTCGCAGGGCGGGGCCTCGCCCGAGCCTTCGTCCGGGGGGGCGGGGGGTTCGCCCGAGGGGGCGGGGCCGGCGTGCGGGGCCTCCGACGGCTCTCCGTCCCCCGGGGGGGCGCGGCCCTCCTCGGCCCCGGGCCGGCCGGCGGCGGCGGCGGCGGCCCTCAGCCTCCAGGTGGGCAGGGCCTTGATGTAGTCCATGTTGACCAGGGGGCGGAGCCAGAGGTCGGGGAAGGCCAGGCGCTCGAACAGGAAGCCGGGGTCCTCCTCCCAGTCCGAGTGGTCCTGCTGCAGCGAGGCCATGGGGTGCAGCAGGTAGGACGCGTACCAGTCCCACAGGCCGGCCAGCCACTCCAGGTTGGTGGCGCTGGGCTCGGGCCCGCGGGCGCCGCAGCGCCGCCTCTTCTCGAAGTAGTCCACCAGCAGGCCGTGGGCCAGGTAGGTGGACAGGAAGAGCGCCGGGTGGGAGGAGTAGAAGGTCCAGTCGGCCCGCACCAGGCTGGCCAGCGCCGTGGTGTCGGCGTAACGCAGCAGCTTCAGGCTGTAGCCGTACAGCGCGTCCAGGTAGGGCAGCTGGAGGAGGGCCTGCGGGGAAGGGAAGGGGGGGGGGGGGCCACAGTAAAGAAAACAGACCTCTGAGGAGTCAATTCAGTTTAGTTTTTTTTTTTACTAGCTAAACTAATTTCCTACATTTATAAATGTGTCCTCGTTTGGTGTAAAATGACCTCTGCAATGATCTGACTTCTCATAAGTGAAGAATTTCCTATCCGTATCTGCACAGGACGGGTAAGTCCACGGAGGTTTCCATGGCGTTCCGCCATTTTGAAAAACTAGAATAGCAGAGAGGGACATAAAGCACTAGTCTTCCTGTCTAGCTAATCCACAACGCCTTTTCCTCATCTGATTGAAATTTCATTTAAACTAATTAATTTATTGATTAATTTAATTAATAAATTATTTGTATTCATTTATTTTTATTACAAACCTCATCACCCAGAGAAAACTGGACGATGTGGAAGTCATGTCATTACTTCTTGATGCCTGACGGCTACATTAGCTGTAATACCCGTTTGCAACACGCGAGGCGCTAGAGAGCACCATTTGTTAGAATGCCAAATACAATTTCATCATCAGGTGGGAGATTCCTATACCATGTAGCTTTAAACTTTTGATACAATACAGTCACATAGTTCCTCTGTTACTCATGTTGGGACCACACGTCTGTAAAGTCCCTTAATAAATGCGACTCTTAAAACCACGTACAATTAGCCCTGAAAAAGAAATGTCTGCTTTTTTTTAAAGGAAACTTTAGCTAAAGACATGCTATAAGGTTTCTTTTATCAAACACATGACACTTATATGTGACGTATAAGTTTAAAAAAAACAGCAGGAAAGAAATCGATTAAAGAAATGTGAAAGTTCTGTGGATTGTTTTGGTTTATACTTCTTAAACGGAGGTCAACATATTAAAACAACCTGTTTTCCCATTAAAGCTGAATATAGCGGTGCCACATGAACCAGGCGGTGAATGATGGTGTGGTGATGAGGAGAAATATAACGTTTGGATGCCACAATTCAGTTTGACTCCATTGATGCTGTGGCTGACAGAGGGTTTCCATGGCAGCATATAGACCCGCCCAGTGGAAAAATCAAAGAATTTCTATTCCTACCATCTCTTCCAAGAAAAATCACTCAGAATATATACAGTGGGGGAAATAAGTATTTGACCCCTTGCTGATTTTGCAGGTTTGCCCACTTACAAAGAATGCAACGATCTATAACTTTAACCATATGTACATTCTAACAGTGAAAGACAGAATCCCAAAGAAAATTCCAGAAAATCACATCATATGAATTTATAAAAATTGATAACCATCTGATGAGGAAAAACAAGCATTCTTTGTAAGTGGGCAAACCTGAAAAATCAGCAAGGGATCAAATACTTATTTCCCCCACTGTATATATATCCCACAGAGGCCATTTTGGAAACTAAGTAAATAGAAGCAATAGAGAAACAAGTAATAAAATAAGATATAGAAATGGGATCCTACCAGCACAGGAAGCCAGGACACCAGCAATATAGAGTTGTAGGTTCCCAGAGTTCGGATCAGAACCACAAAGCGTTTCACTGTAGCTCCCTGTGCACAGAAAAGTGAACGTTAAATGTGCACTTGTAGAAAGAGAACAACAGCAGTGAGGCTCAAATAATCCTTCCATCACACCAAGCCATGCAGAGAAAACAGCCGGCAAATACACGAGAGCTCTATAAAATATCCTAATAAGAGGGATTCATCCGGTTAGTCTTAGTTGTATGTCGTGTGGTTTCTTTCTTAATATTTTAATCCACACTAAATATGTTGTGCAAAAAAATAAAGTGGTCGGACGAATGTGTACAACGTTGATTCACGTGTATCAGGAACGGGATGGGAGTCAGCATCATATTTGCATGATATACAAAGTTGAACAACTCTAGTCTCGCACCGGCAAAACTAAAGGAAAAACTTTTTGAAGCTGCATGGAGATGAGGAATACAAAAAGAGTTTTGCGGATACCAAACGACAAAAAACTCATTAAATTTAAAATGTAGAAAAAGTTCATTATTCAAAATTAATTAAAAAATTCCTTTTAAAAAATGAAAATGTATTTTTAATTAATAAAATAGTTTTAAAAAAAGTCCGCCACACCCTAAACTGGTGACTTTTACACGACGCTGGGCTGGCTACGCTCAAATGGCCTTAGCCACCAGACCCCAATTTTCCGGAGCAGCTCGGTAAAGCCGTGGTCCAGAAAAACAACTAAGAAGAAAGACGTGGGATACCAGAGTCTTCAGAGAGCGTAACACTGTGAAATTAACAAGGAGCTGGTTCCACAGCTTTGACAAACGCACTGGGCTGAGGCGTGCGATTAATAGAACAGAGACACTAAAAGGAAAAACGCATTCATGCCGTCTCAAAAGCCCTCAGGAGCTGTGTCCGGCTGATGGAAGCGGGAGAGGTGACCTGTGTTATGAAGAGGTCCATCCAGGCCAGCAGGTTGATGAGCACCAGGCTGAGGACGAACAGGTCGTTGACCTCTGGCTGGACGGAGCGCAGGAAGGTGTCCATGGCGGCGAGGGACAGGAACTCCCCGGAGCTGTGGGCAGGACACGGGAAACCAACCGGAAATTCATCATTTTTCGGCTCGTCCGCGCCAAAAATGAGACGGCTTGCAGTCCTCACCTGTTGCCGTAGCGATAAATCCCCTCGGGCATTTTGAGGATGTAGGCGGGGCTCTGCGTCACGCCGATCTCCGCCAGGCTGCTCCGGTTGTCCCAGTGGCGCACGTCCACGAAGATGAACTCGATGCGGCCGGTGAACTTGACCGACAGGGCGGAGAAGAAGGCGGGCGGCTGGGACAGGTGGGCGAACAGGAACATCTTGATGGGGTGGGCGGGGTCGGGGCGCCACTCCTCGGTCAGCTGCTCGGACCGGCGCAGCGTTTTGATCCGGTGGGCCACGTGGGAGGTCATCCAGCGGAAGATGTGCTCGGCGTCCACGCGCCGGCCGTCGTACTCTTTGAGCATGACTTTGCCCTTGGAGGCGGAGGTCTGCGGGGCCGACATGATGAGGGTGGAGCGCTGCCAGCCGCGCTTCAGACACGACCTAAAGGACGGAGCAGAGCGCTCTAAAAGACCCCGTTACAGCTCCACACACACCCACGACACACCAGGCTCCTTCAGGTTACCGGCTGTAGTTTACCGAAGCCAAACGTACCAATCCAATCAAATTTGAAGGAAAAGGTGAGTCAATTCAAAAAGTTTTACTGTAGAAACTCTACGTATGTTAAAATTTTCGTATGTTGGTTCAAATATTGCCAACAGAATACACTGTAATTCGTATAATTCATTCCACAGCTACACCAAACTACGATAACTCCTTAATAAATACGGCAAATAATTACACATGGCAATAAAACAAATACATTATATAAGAGAGATGTAAAAAGAAATAAAAGCTAAAGAAATAATCAAAAGTCTTTTTTTACTGGCATTGGCGAATGGAGGTGTAGCCGATGCTTACTCCAAATTTCACCATGTGAACTTTAAGCAAACATAGCTTATTTATTTTTATTTCATTTGTTTTGGTTTTTTTCTATGACTTCGACATCATGTTGGAAATTTGATTTGGGTTTAGAGTCGAATATTTAATCGAATATCACTTCGGATGTTGGAAAATGTGTATGTTTAGGCATCGTAAGTAGAGATTCTACTGTATTTGATTTCTGTCTGGCTTATGGCTAAATCAGTTTAGTAGAGCTAAGGAACTGCATCAGTTCATAATTATTTGCTGTAGTAGATGGTCTGAATATCTAAAAGTCCACACTATGTATACCGCAGGTATATGTTTCATATTTCTGTTCCCACTAGAACTTGCTCGGTGGGTCTGACGGCGTAACGTTTCCTGACCTGTGGTCGCTGGAGCAGTTGAAGGTTCCGGTTCTGATGCCGAACTGGGACACTTTCTGCACCATCTTCCCCCAGCTGGCCGGACTGAGCAGAGCCTCCCGGTTCTGGGCGATGACCTGCAGAAAGGCACAGAGAGAGACGTTTCTACGCACACGAGCCAGAAAGCAGAAACTCTCATTTTCATTTACAACGTTAATGGTCACAGACAAACCGAAATTGGATGTTCGTTGTTTCTACTTTTTTAAAGTAGGAGGGGTTCATGTGCAAATGTAAATCCAAAAAAAAAAAAAAAAATTCAGCAACGTTGTGTGGTTATTAGTGGAAAACCCCCATTAAATATCAGATTTATAGAAAAGAAACAAACAGACACACGGCACACAGTGACCCCACAGAGTGACCCTAACCCGACCTATTCATAGCACAGTGACCCGAACCCGACCTATGCACGGCACAGTGACCCGAACCCGACCTATTCACAGCAGAGTGACCCCAGAGTGACCCACACCTAACCTATTTGTAGCACAGAGTGACCCCACTGAGTGACCCAAACCTGAACTATTCATGGCACTGAGTGACCCCACATAGTGACCCTAACCCGACCTATTCACAGCACTGAGTGACCCCACAGAGTGACCATAACCCGACCTATTGATGGCACAGAGTGACCCCACAGAGTGACCCTAACCCGACCTATTCACAGCACAGAGTGACCCCACAGAGTGACCTAAACCCGACTTATCCACGATACAAAGTGACCCCACAGAGTGACCCGAACCCGACCTATTCATAGCACATAGTGACCCTAACCCGACCTATTAACAGCACAGTGACCCACTGAGTGACCCATACCCGACCTATTCCCGGCACAGAGTGACCCAGCTTAGTGACCAAAACCTGACCTATTCATAACCCTGAGAGACCCCACTGAGTGACCCATCACTCCACACATGGTCACATGTTTATGTGCATTTAGCTGTGTTTAAAATTAGTTTCTTCCAGAATCTGAATCCAAGCACCCTGAAATCCTAAACTCTTTAGACCGAGCAGTTGACAGATCCACCAACGCAATGATTGTTTATTTAAATGATTTCTGTTATAAATGGCCCTAGAAAACTAACTCCAGCGAAAAGACGTATTCAGTGTTCATGTTTTCCGGATCTATTTCATCTCTCAGTGCCTGTCCGTGCATGCCCCCCCCCCACGAGGCTCCGGCACTGGGGTGTCTTTACCTGGACCAGCCATATCCCGTCCTTAGTGTCCTCCACCAACTCATAGAAGTGCATCTCCCCGCTGAAGAGCGTGCTCGTGGAGTCTCCCGCATCCGACTGCTCCTTCTCTTTAGTGATGGCCGAGTACAGCTCCCCCTGAGTCAAGTCCCCTGTGAAAGAATTCAAAAAATAGAAAAGGCTGCAAACTTATTACTGCCATTGAACAGGTTTGTGAATGCTAAATGGTCCGTAGCTTGTTCTCTATATTACCTGCAGAGTAAAAAATGATGTATCATCACTATAAGCATCACCTAAAAGACTAAACACTAGGTTTTTAGGGGAGGGTGAAGGTATGGTTACATGTGTGTAACACAGAGCAAAGCTTAAACTGGAATTTTTTTGCAGAATCTGTTGTGAAAGAGCCTGGTCCTAGCTGTCTGGCTTTATTTAACCGCCTTGGTATTTTCAAATCCTGTTCAAACATGACAACTTGCTCAATAAAGGGCTAAGATTAGGCTTCAAACTGTCCTGTTTTAAATAATCTTCTCATTACCAATGTACTCACCTGAGTTGTGTTCACGGACCTGTTTTTGTTTAGTTTTTTCAGCTTCACGTGACCATGAATCTCCAAAGTTTTGATCGACGTTTAGATAATAATTACAGTTGTTCTAAACAACTCAAACAAAACACTTGTGGCTTGTATAGTGGTTTATTCCAACAGTCTTAAACAGGAAAAGGGGAGGATCACAGCTGGCAACCATCACATCCTATCCCAAACTTCCTGCTATCACTGAGAGGGCGACTACCTCATATTCAAAGCCTCATTCTCGTGGAGATGAACACGTTACTAAAGTGAGTGTCTAAGAACCCAGTGTGAGGACTGGGGCTCGATTAAAACAGCTTGGATTTAAATAAACATCTCCTGGCCTGATGGTCGGCTCGTACATGGATGCAGGAGTCAGAGGCGGCTTTGAACGCATCACCGTGGCAATGGCTCCCTGTTTATCTACAGCAGTTATTCAGCAGCCTCTTGGGATGTGGCGTTTAAATGTGATAAACATTGAGCTGAGAATGTCTGTCGCAAACGGCCCACGTCCCCGGGTCTTACCTGACTGCTCCACCAGCTTGCTGACGTCCTTTTTCTCCGCCAGGCCGGAGTATCCCAGTCCCCTGCACTCCAGGATGGTCTTTAACTTTTTGTAGCTCAGGGTAACCGGATCCACCAGCTGCGTCGCGAACATGCCGGTCTCATACCAAACTACAGCCTCAAAAATCCTGGCTAGTACGAACAAAACTATGAAATACACGAACAAAAAGAATAGTTTCAACCACATTTTATTGGTGGGCGATAGCGCGCAGCGAACGTCTCATTCGGAGGAGGAATATTCCAACCGAACAGGCGACACGGGCTTCGACACGGACTTTAACATCTACGGCGACGGCTCTGGAGATGTGTGTGTATGATAATATGTGCGTCACGCCACCATTATTGGGCGTGCTGTAGCTAGGAACACACTCGTCTCTCTCTCACCGGAGTTTTGTGACATACATGAGCCTGCCTGGCTAACTCCGGCCGCTAATTATCTGGCGTCCGTTGGCGGACAGGCCTCGGACGGAACGAGCGCAACGCAAAACGCCTACGACGTCAGCCGCACGCGCAGCTCTTTCTCCTCACGCGCCTCGGAGGGCTGCGGGTCACCCGCACGGACACGGCATCGGATGTCAGGCTGTGGGTCGAGCTGAGTCAGGCCTGCCAGCGCGAAAAAAAAACAAGCGGGGTGCACCTCTGTCACTCTCCGGTTCAGTCCCGAACATATGATTCCAGCTGTGACGTCATGCCAACGTTGACAGCGAACATCTCACGAGATTAGAACGACTGCCGTTATTTACAGTGGGGACGTTGCCTCTATGGAAAGCGAAAGGGGTCATACTTGCTAATGCAGCAACGCTACGAGGCTTTATTTGGGTCATTTCCCAATTCGTGGCAAGGGGCAGAGCTTGCCATCAAAACACTGGTCAGTGCTTTGCAGCCTGCGGCCAAGAGAAAATGTGGGGCGAATGATTTTGAGCAGAGGCATTACAGTTAATTTGAGTCATTTTAAAATGACAAAACCATCAGAACCAAAACCTAAGCCCAGCTCCACTACAGAACCAACACTGATGTGGAGTTGTTCTTTTTGATGTTTTTATTATCCCTTGAAAAAAAGTGTGATGTGGTAGATGATACATGATATATGATTAAATGCAATATGGTGAAATGTGAATATTCCATGATGAGTGATATGTGATGTGACGTACATGTGATATATTCAATGTCATATTAGAATATGTGATTTGATGGTTTGCTAACATGTGATGCAATGAAATATGTGGTCATATTGATATTATATATGTAACCATAAATGTGACATTTGAAATGTTAAATGCGATATCTGATCATATATTTGATTTGATCACATATGTGATGATCAATGATCATTTATGTGGTATATCTCAGTAGATGGTTAGAAAAGGAAGGAATCACATGATAAATAATCATCAAGCTTTTATTCTTTTTTCTGCTTAAACGTGACAGACAAGGTGAGAAAAGAGAAGCGAATCCTTGGCATGTTATCTCCACCCTATTATCAGAACAGATTATTCCCAGAAATAGCATCTCCACATTCAACAATTCAAATCGAGCTGAATCCACCAACAACAAAGCAGAATACACACCCGTTTCTGGTTCCAGTAGTTCAAAACAAAGAAACTGTTGGGTTTTTTTTGTTCACAAGGTCGAGGTATTAGCAGTAAAACCAAATCATGTCAAAAGAGCCCCTTTGTGACTGAGTTAGATGACATCTTTTGGCAGAAGGCAGTGTGGAGATGCCAGTGATGAGAGGAGCCCTGTGGCTGTCGACACCTCAAAAGGCACATTTTGTGTGTGTTGACACACACACACACACACACACACACACGCAAACACAACAATCAACAGATAAGATGACGAGGCATGGCTGACAACACAGTCACTTTTCACTGATGCCACGCAGAGCCCTTGAGAGAACTTCCTGCCCACGAGTCCAACCTGGTTTTGAAGGTGAAGGTCCACCGTGAGCGCTAACCCATCAGGAAGCTGCGACAGAGAGAAGGAGGCTTTAAAGGTGGGCTCATCGCGTCAGAGCAGCAAACGGCGGTGTGGCGGGCCTACCTATAGGGGTACCCGTGGTACTTTGCCCTGAAAATGGACAGCAGCCAGCTGAAAAACAGCATCACCAGGCAAATACCTGCAACACACATCACTGACACACACACGTTTGTAAGAACACGTTGGCCATGTTTATCAGGAACAAGCAGCTGTTGAACTGCACTGAAAATGAAGGAAAAAATAGTCAAATATGGAACAACGACCTGCTGTAAACTTACTAATGGCCTACATAGATTTAAGAAAAATATCAAAACTAAGAACTGGAAAATAAACGTCTCTGTCTGAGCCTGCATCTTAAATATGAGTTTTCCTTTAATAGGTAACCTGTATAATCCCAAACAAAGTGGAGGGACTGCTATCCTTACGGTGACAAAGCCCTTTATAGGCTTTGTGTTTAACAGCAGTTTTAACTGACCAAACAGTGTCAAATATGTCATCTCTGGTCAGAAAAACACACAAAAAAATATTCTTAATGATTCTGTTTCACCCCCATTCAAAGGAAGAAAAATCCCTGTCCATCCCAAGAAAATGGATAAATAATGTAGTCATAAGATAAAAATGATAACCCTTCTTCAAAACAGATCAAACGCAGTCACACTGTTTAAAAACCATCCACCTGCATGTGGTACTCTTCCCGTTTCTCTAAAAGAATTGGACATACGCAGGGTGTAATATCTGTCAGATGCAGTGTTCAGAGACATGGTATACAGGTTTCTCATCATTTGCGCTGAAACCAAGAACAAAATTTGCCTCGTCACATTTTACTGCCTTTTATAGTGATCGTCCTCTTTGTTCAGGTTTGACCGGACATGGTGCCCAACCGGGGGGCTCACCCCACAGTTTCAGAACCACCGGCATAAGCTAACCTCTATCATCACGGTCACGTTAACTCCCACAGGACATTTAAAACAACGTGAGCTGAACCATCTATCCATCAATTATCGTTACCGCTTATTCCCTAATGGAGTCGGGGGGGGAAACTGGAACCCAAAGTAGAAAATCTTAAAGGGCAATTCATAAAAATGCAACAAGATATAGTAATTAAAACACACAGGTTTTAGTCGATGCCCAGCGGATAAGAAAGATGATATGAAAGTCTGAGCAATGCATGATGGGAAAAGTGCTCCACGGATATTTAGCAATCTCTTTTTGGAACTTTGGAGCAAAAAAAATGATAAGCTAACTTGACTTTTATTGAGCTCTAAAGAACATCTTAAAGTACAACGATGCAAAGGCTCCTTTTACAGCCTTAAAAGCAGGAGTGACCTCTTAAATTAATCTTTTATAACACACGGCTACGTAACAGGGTGAGCCATCGTTCTGTAAAAATCTGAATTTAAAAGCTCTGATGACAGACGAATGTCCGCATATGGTACGTCGACTTTTAGACGAAAGGGGAAACTTATAGGCGAGGGCCAGAGATAAAACGAGGCGGCTCAAATCACGGGGCTTACCTTTCCTCTTTCCGATATCCAGGTCAGAGGTGGCGGCCTCGCACAACAGAACGATGCCCATGGTAATAGCACCATCTGACGAGAAGGTCAAGGTAAACGCACACAGACGCCTAGGCGTCATCCCTCTCTACACATGTACACAAACACATCATATGGTGGGGCCTCACATATCCAGGGGTTCCTGGATGTGTGGTCAGGGTGAGCCCAACCGAGAGGTCGGCCAACCAGGATTAAAGGATACTGAAGAGAAGGACGATGTGCGTCTCTGCCACAAACTGGGCCTGGCTGCTGCCGTGGATGTAACTCTGAAACGAGAGGAACGGGAGTGGTGAGGGTCCACGCCAGGGACCCTGACTCAGAGTTTTTTTCTCAGGACCAGAATTAAGTTATCTACTGACAAGGGAGCAGCAAAAATCTAAATGTTTCTTGCTATCCAGCAGAGGGAGCTCGAGCACCCCTTTTTCTGTCAGAATCCCCTGGGCTCGGCTGAACAGCTACTCGGTGGTCTGCAGTCGGCCCTCGATGGTAAGAGTTAGGGGGAGCCAGCTCCATACCACAAAAATGAGGAAAGTAAAAGATGTTGATCTCCCCAGGACAGACGTCTTCAAATAGTTTCTACAGTTTAGATTCTTTTTGACAACACTCTCAAATTTGGGACACTCACCAATTTCTTTGTTGTTTTTTTTTTTCAGAAACACAAATGGGGATGTCGATAAGCCGATATGTGCATTATATAGTACAATCTTAGCCATGAACGCACATAATACAGAGCAGGGAAGCAGAAATGAACACGGCCATATCAAAGGAGTTTTGGGGAGAGCTACATAATGACACACACCCTGTCACCAAATCCAACACTTTGAAGGGAATTTAGATAGAAAATAATCCCAGTTGTCAGAAAAGAGAGGTGGTGGCTAGGATGAGCCCGGCATATTCCTGTTTATGCTGGAGGAACCGGGAGACACAGAATTCCAATCACTCTCACATATATTTTGGCCGAGCCCCGGGTTGTGTGTACTTTGGAGAGCTATTTGATGCTCTCAGAGATGGAATAGAATACTTTATTGATCCCACAGCGGATTTCAAGAGGCGATTCTACAAAACCCATTGGCGGCAACGTTTGGAGCTGTGCCAGTGAGCCTTCGGGAAATACCTCTTAGATATTTTCCTAAAATTAAAGTGTGGAACTATCGAACGGCTGAAACCGGATTCTCCAGCATACAACAAAAGGCTCCAAAAACCTATGGGGCTTCTATCAGACAGAGCTAATCACATTTACGCCAACATCAGCCTTTAGGAAAAGCTGGGACTCTATCACGGCTCAGTTAATACCAGGAGAACACCTATCCACCGATACCTGGTCCCCTCGCTCCAGCTCCTCATATAAAGGTTATATACTGCTGAAATGGGGAAAAAAGAAAACTCTGTATTGTTTGTCGGTAACAGCTACTCAAAGTTAAGTGGAACACATCCACACGTGTTAAAGTCACATTAAAAGGACAGCCGGAGCGGAACACAGTGGGATCAGCGGAACTGGGTCTCACTATTTGTCCGGAGTTGGGGTTCTTGTGCGCATAAGGTGGTCCTCTGATGTGGTTCCACATCTGGCCTGAGGTCATGATCAGAGTAAAGCACTGAAACACAGGGGAAAAAAACACATTAGAGACAGATAACCAAGTGAAGATAGAAGAACTACACCTGGGACATGAATTAGAATTTAATTAGAGGCTTGACAATAATTTATTTTGATCAAATAACACTATTTGATATCAAACAGATTAGTTTTGTCAATCCATAACTAAATATATACATACAAAGATTCTAGTTTAAAAAAAAAGAAAAAAAAATGCAATTTTTGTAAAAGACACCCTCAAAATGTGCTTGATTTATTTTGGTCTTCCTCTTTTCCACCAAATTATGGGAAGATATTTGAAACCTTATTTCTACTTGTATTGAACCAAAAAATTCCTTTTGCCCTGAACAAAGAAAACTAACGACAACAAAAAAAAAACTACAATAAAACTATTTAATCTCATTAATCTTGTATTTTAACCAAATGATATCCAAAGATGTAAATACTAAAGCTGGGAATTATTAAAATTTTTCATTGCGATTAAACACATGAATTTGTTTTATTTATTGCATTATTGTGGACATGAGTTAATATATCACATATCTGTGTATATCAAATTTAAAGTACCGTTTATGGAAAAGGCCGGTAACATTTAATGCAGATGTAACAAATGAAGTACTTTTTTGTACCAGTAAACAACACACTTGATAAGGTTAATAAGGTGCTAACACCATGATAACCCATAAAAACACATAACGAATGAAAAAACACTGATTCCTACTTTTCCTAATGATGTCAAGCAACAAATTAAAACTAGTCAATATTCCAATAACCTGAAAGCTGTTAAGGTATCTGACCGCTGTGGCGGTCATGTAAAATGACATTCTGATATGGTGCCTGGCCTTGTGTGCTCCTGTTTATGACTGTTCCGTTTGACTAAAAAGAAGGACTTTCACTGATGGAAAATGATAAAAAGCAAAGAGTGTGTGTGTGTGTGTGTGTGTGTGTTAGCTGGTATTACCAGTGCGGAGAAGGCCCAGACGTTCTTGTTAAAGAGAAACTCTAAATTATGTCTTCGCAGATATGCCAATCCTCCAATCACAGCCAAGAGGAAGCCCAGCAAGAGAGGCCCCGCGTAGTTGGGTGGACGAATGACCCGGATCTGAAACAGAGCAGCGCGACTCATCATCGGAGACTCCACATATCTGTGGGCTTTGGAGGAGATATTGATTTGAACATGCCCACTATAGAAGTTATTTTGATCAAAGGCTCACCTGAACGTCTGTCCGATCAGCCACCCATCGAGCCAGCTGCTCGGCTGAGAAGCCTCTCACTTGTAGCTCGTAGGTGTCGGATTTTCTGAGCTTCCCTTTGGGTGGGAAATGGAGGAATGTCGGAGCGGAGTTCATATTAAGCTGTAAACAACAAATACAGGTAAAGCATTTAATAAGATAAGATGTCCCTTTAGTAGACCCACAAGGGTTCATTTGAGACAGTACTTGTGGAACACTGGGCTCACACCTCTTCTTTGACTACCACTGTTCACATAAATAAACATTGGTAACTTTGGTTTTGAGCATTGAGCAGTACGCACATTCCATCAGGAATCACCAACCGTATTTGTGTTGGAAAAGGGGCTCAGAGATGTATTTATACATCAGCCAGTGCTGGGCTGTCAGGTTGAAAAGGTTTACGGTGCTCGTGGGTCGGTTTGTGTGAGGGGACGGCACATTCTTCCCCAACAAGCTTTCTTTATAGGTCACAAACTTTAACTGAAATGTGGCATACACAAGTTTTAGGCCTGTTTTTGTGCGTGCGCAACTTTTGGGATTTGTTGGGATCGAAGCCTGAAGATTCTCCGGCCACACAGATACCAACCGTGCCTCTTTGGATTATGCTAATTAAAGGTTATCAAAACTAAACTAAATAAACTTACCATCTGGAAGACATCGGAGCCTTCATCGAAATCCACCGAGGCAAAAAACACTTTGTTGGTGAAGGCGGAGGAGTAGCGCCAGGAGTTAGCCATCACCTGGAACTCCTCGTCGGCTTGTCTGTCAAGAAAAAGACGAGAGAACTGAGGGTCAGGGGGTCACTGTGAGGTGCCAGGCTGCGGTCAGGAGGTCACTGTGAGGTGCAAGGCCCCTCACCTGCACACCCCGCACTGTCTGTGCGGCTGCAGAGCGGTGAACATGATGAACACCGAGTAGTTCCTGGGGGGAGCCTTGACGAATCGGCGGAACTTGTCCCCATTCATCCGGATGACGGAGCGTTTGGATGTCCAGTCCATCATCTGGGTCACCTTTTCTGACAGCAAAGTCTGTTCGGGAACGGACACACACAAACACAGACACACACACACACACACACACAGACACACACACACAGACAGACACACGCACACAAACACAATTCCTGTCAGAAAACAGAACCCCCACTTGCTACGTTTGTCCGTCGGACACACAAGCCCCGCGTGCACCAACTCCCTCTTCGTGACTAATTAGCCCGTTACTATAGTTCCCACGGCGGGAACTGTACTTTTGGATAGACCTGTCTACGTTACAAACCTGGCTTGCAGACTGTTAGTGTGTGAGTGTGTGTGTGTGTGTTTGTTTCAATGAGCTGGTGAGGTTTCACTTCAGGCTGCTGCTAGCTTTAGCTAGCCGCCAGCACCGAAACGGACCTTCACTACTAATTACTTTGAAAAAGTGGCTCAAAACTTTGAGCAGGAGGTGGAACCTTTGCTCCCGCGGGGGCCCGGTGGCCTTACCTCTTTCTTCTTTTGGGCTTCGCCCCGGTCATGGCAGCAGCTCAGCAGAACCAGCAGCGAAACTAAAAGTTTCCCAAACATTCTGCCACCCTGACTGACACACTTCTGTGCCGCCGCGTACGGGACTCCTGTCAGCCTGTCATTGGTCGGCTCTCTCTTCCGTGTTTACAAGACTCACGCAGGCGCAGTGGCGGCGGCCTTCCGTCCCGGGCCTCACGCTGCGGAAGGCTGAGGAAAACCTACGCCCCTTGCCACTGACTGGGGTAGTAGTATGGTCTAATCCTGATTTGTGATTTAGAAAGTGCCCCACTGAGTGAAATAACCCGCAATTATGAGGCAGCGGTGAAAAAGGGCAGCCCCCCGTGAGTCCCACACCGGATGTGTGAGGACAGATGTTCAACAAATGATGGCAAAAGCAGCCTTTCATCAACTCTGATGTGAACCCTGCTGGAGGCTTCCTGACACCTGGGAATCTCAATTTAGTTCTGTTTTGCTGTTTGTAACATGTTGTTGTTATGTTTAAGTCATTTAATTTTTCTCAATAAAACAAAAATACAACATTACAGCTCTGGGTCAGATTCCTTTACCTGATCATCAACAAAGTCTAATTGGGTGCTGGTTCCCTGACCCAGTGATATATACTAATAGAATTGTTAAATGCGCAAGGTGATGTTACCTTCAGCAAAGGCTGAACGGGGTTATATTTTCACACAGTAATATAAGGCCCAAATTACGATAAACCGCAAGAGATTCTTATAAAACTGGTTTCACCCAAAAAGATTAAGGGTGTAGTTTGGATTCCTTCCATCCCATGTGTGAGTAAATCTGCCTGGGTAATTCCTGCTGCAGTGCCTGTAGCAGATTGTCAGGCCCTTCAGCATCCTCTGCATCGTTGCCAAGAAGCTCCTCAGTTGGATCACTACATTCCTTTGTCTTGTTGTGTACCATCTGATATCCATCTCATATCAATTTCCCTCAGTAAGAAAGGCACTCCTTGAATGTTATGGCCTTTCTATTTGAGTGTTAGTATTCTATGTTTGAATAAAACACTGAGAGTAAGCTTACTCGATGAATCCTTTATTAAGAAGTCTAAAATAATCCAAATCGGCTATTATTATTATTGTTATCAATAGATATATACCACATACAGTGCAAATAGAACTGTGCCCAAGTCATTGGAATACACTTAGTTTGTTTTTGGACATAAAAACACAAGTAGGAAAAGTAAGACTCTTGTTTTTATTAACTTTGGAATGACACAGCTGGTCATTTGGAAAACAAGGATCTTGAAACGCTGTATCACCTTCCACCGGTAGGGGGCGATACTGTGCCTCAAACCTCAAGTGCGAAAGTCAGTAAACAAGGGAAGAAGAAAATTGGTAGAGGAAGAGGAGGTAAAAAAGCACATCCAAACAGCTTTGTTTGTAGGCCGTTGGGTAAAGTGGAGTCCACAAAGGATGGCAGAGCAGTAGCACCGCGGCACGGCTGCTCTCAGACCGGCAGGTGAGCGGGGCCGGGGGGTCACCGGCGGGCTCGGGGGAGGGGTTACCGGTGGGCTCACCGGGCCGGTAGTTTGTGTGGACATGCGGGGTGCACAACATCAGCCTGGGTAGCTTCGACAGAGATTAGCTTAAACTTTCTTTGAAAGGATGCTGTAACATGTGTCGAGGACCTTCTCAGTTTAGTGACATTATAGGGGCTCCTGTTGGCTAACAGGGCTAACTGTCATGTGTCTGGGACCCGTCCACGGCCGCCTGGGATGTGGGTTTTTTGTTTTGTTGTTGTCGGGGCTGTGGGACAGAAGCTGCTCAGCCCCAGCGGCGTCTGTGTTTCCTCCTGCTTCTCCCCTCGCTTTGCTCCCAGTCTAAAAGGCCCTGGGTGGGGGTGGGGGGCAGCAAATGTCAGGCAGAGCCTGCACTGACTAAGTCTAAGCCCCTGTGACTGTGTTGTGTCTCTATCTGACGTCAGGTGACTTGTTTCCCCTCAGCTTTGGTACTGTCACTGCCCACTTACTCCCACAACACACTTATACTCAACCCTCACACCCACAACACACAGTGAGGGGATGCTCTCCGCCTGTTTGCAGACTTTTGGGGTTGTTTGAAATGGTCAGAATGTCTCCTTTGGGTTTCAGAACCTTTACCCAGCCTATCGGAGAGTATTCGGGCTGCTGTCCAGTTGTCCAGTGCAGGGAAGGCCTTTGTATGGCATCTGTGCGACATTGACAACGACTTCATCTCCTGTGGTCGGAGTGATACCTCGGTTTAATGAGAGATATCCCAGTGTAACGGAGTCACGTGTACAGGTCGCAGGGCATTAAATACCCAGCCATTTTTTGTTTCAGGCCTCTCCTTTCCACTTCTGGGTGAGGGGCAAAGTGCATCTTGAAAAGGTCACCATCACAGGGCAGGTCCAGGATATGTTTGTATAGAATCCCGCCGGCTGAAATCGATGAGATTTCTTACAAGAGAGCCAGGGAATGTTAGCCAAAGAAGGGGAAAGTCTCTGCGGGGTCTCTGCATACAGTTGTTATTGCTACTCTTGCTGCTACTGAGAATAAGAGTGGGCAAATGGGGACTCCCCGGATCTGCTTAGCTCCAGAAACAGCCAATAAAGTCACCAGAGAGACAGCAGACCTTTAGGAAAACATCTAGATTTTTACTAAAGGACACCTTAGTGAAGCACCCAAACTACAGTGTAGAGTGGTACCAGCTAAAAGTAGTCCTCTGTTCATCTCCACTCGGTGAGCCTGAGGAAGCTCATAATCTCTGTAGTTGTTGGGTAAGAATCCCCAAAATAGGCAACTGTGTGATTTATTTATTTATTTATTTATTTATTGATTGATTGATTGTATGTGGCAGAAAAAAAAACCTCATCATATTGTAGCTTTGTATACTCTGAACTTTCTTCAAAATGTGGACAAAGACCTGGCTGAAATGCATGTCCAGACATTTGTATCGATGCAAATGGCTTCATTTGAATGTGTTTAAGTCTGTGAGCAGATCAGTTTGCACGGTTACACGCAGAAACCTGTGTTTTCAAAAGGTTTTTACCCCTGATAAGGTCTCAGCTTCAACAAGTTTTCAAATGTAATCATTGGAGGTTTGGGTAAAAAAGCAGAATTACAGTATGTGCTTTTGTATGAATGAATGGGATTAACATTTTTAGCTAAATGCCTTTTATCTCTGTGTCTTTATGTTCTTTTTCAGAACTGAGGTTTGATTTGTAGGAACCCCCACCCCTCCCTACAACACAGTAAAGCTGTCAATTAGTGTATATGTCTGGGCATCAAAGTGATGGGGCCACGGAGGAAGGCATCCAAACTCCAGCTGTTAGTGGGCAGTGGTGGAGGAGACCCACTCCTCAGACCCACAGAACCCAAAGACTACATCAACGAGTTGTCCCATGAAGTCCTCTGTCACATTTTCAGGTGAACACCACATTTACTCGAGGAAAATTGCAGAGCATGTGGGAGGAAATGAATTAAAGGGACCAGGCTGGGACCTATTCTTAGACCTGGATTTAAAACAAATGGACTTCATTTAACTTGGATTTTGAAGATCTTTCACTTCCATCTGAAGAGCATCATCAGTTCCAGCTAGTAGGAAGAATTAGCAAGACCTAAACCCCCCACGTGTTGGTCAGCTGATTCAGTCGCACTTGTAACCCTAAAGATTTGTTAAGTGTGACTGGTCTTTCTATTCCAAGGAAGTGACACTCTCCACCAGCTAGTTTGGAACTGATAAAGCCAAACCAGAGGTGAAATATCTGAAAAGAAGCCAGAAGTCATCAGTTGCTCTTGTTACAGCTCCTTGAATTACCCTGAGAGGCACGAGTGAGAATTTAAACCATTATTTGTTGTTTCACTCGTCTTGTTTCTGTTTTTCGCCTGTCAGCAATAGTCCACAATGATCCACCAAATACAGAATTTGTGAGCGAAACGTCCTCATTTTTTCTCAAATCCATATGGACCTTTTATTGAAGAATTTTAAGTTTCCTTTAAATTCCTGACATCACTGGGGAGGACGTATCTTAGGAGAAAAATACACTTGGAAGGTTTCTGTTTAATTCTTGGCTTTGGTAAAGTGGGTAGACCCCACATTGCCTGCAATGCGTCCACTGGGGTGTGAAAAAGCAAAGCAAGTTCACTCGCTCTGACGATTTTTGTTTTGTAGGTACCTTCCAATGAAGGATATCATGTGCATGGAATGCTTGTCCAGAAAGCTCCGAGAAGCCGTGACTCTGTACCTGCGCGTGATCAAGGTGGTGGACCTGTGTGCCGGTTGCTGGTGGGAATACATGCCCTCAGGTAAGAGGACCCACCCAGTCGGGTGTCTTTTTCCGAGCGCTGTTGGTATTTGAGCATGCAAAGCCTGCACGGTTCCTATCGCAAATATTTATTTCACAGCTTCTAGTTCTCTCGTCTGCGCCCGAATTTCGGCGCCTAACTAGTTGCGTACGGTTCAGTCAGAGCAAGTGGTAAAAAAAGTCTCTTTCCCCGTCTTTTTTATGATGCGTAAGATATTCTATTTGTTTAGGTTTCACAGATAGCAGCTTTCTGATCCTCCTGAAGAAGATGCCTGACATGGAGCAGCTGTATGGCCTACACCCGCGCTACCTGGAGAGGAGACGGGTCAGAGGCTACGAGGCTTTCAGCATCCCCGGAGTCCTGGAGGCTCTCCAAGCCTGTCCCAATCTGCTGGTCAGTATGAGCTGGGAGATTCGATGCGTTTGCCTCGTTCACTATTGGGACTGAAATGCAGGACAGGACACGGATACCCCCCCTTTACAGACGTAGGTCCCCAGGTGGGGAAACGGCTGCACTCACTTCCTGCTGGAGCTGGTCTGATTGCTCTGGTGGGGGGTTCCAGCCGGTGATCGTTACAGGCATTCATTAAAAACCCTAAAAACCCACCGTTTGCACATTTGTCTGCGAGATGGTCCCATTCGAACATAACTCCACCAGCAAGTGGAATGGTGCCGTCCGGCCTGATTTGAAAGCCTCTGTCCTGCCCACAGGGAAATCATTCCACCCAAAACAGGGAATGAGAGGGCAGCTTGATCAGACCACTTTAGGATCTATAGGTCGAAGGCCTTGTTAGAAAAAAAGGGCTGTTTCTGTAGGCATGCTGGCATACAAATCTGTTTATTTTTGTCTTTTTTGGACTGTACTTTTGAAGTGCCTATACGCATGATATTTCCTGTGACTTAGTGCAATATCAATAAAATTGACTTTCATGGCACAAATCCCATTAATGTAATCAATCAATTCTAATCACACTCGGCTCATAGAGGATCGGTTTTCTCAAAATTTACTCTGTGGCATTTCCTTTAAAACACAACCACATGTGTAATGAAACGAATTAAGATTACGTTCATTCACTGACTCTCATTCATTGACTTGCAGGGTGTAGAAACGTCCCACCTGGAGCTGGTAGAAGCCATTTGGAACTATATGCCTCAGGTTCACATACTGGGGAAGTTCCGCAACCGTAACGGGGCTTTCCCCATTCCCGCCGAGAACAAACTCACCATCCCCATAACCGCCAAGATCCAGACCTTACATCTTGTGGGTAAGTGGGGCCTGTCCTGACCCGGGGGCACGATGTACCACAGTCCCTGTGATGTCCCTGAAACGCGCCCCTCCTTGTGCTTGCATAATGGGAAAGTTGCACCACTTGGGTGTACTCACAGAGTGTCTGTTGCAGGTGTGAACGTGCCAGAGGTCCCCTGTGTGTCCATGCTTCGGCACCTGTACCTGAAGTGGGTGCGCTTCACCAAGCCACAGCCGTTCAAGGACTTCCTGTGCGTGAGCCTGAGGACCTTCGTCATGCGGAACTGCGCGGGACCGACCAACTCCCTCAAATACGTGCCGCTCGTCACTGGCTTGGCATCAGCCCGGAACCTCGAACAGCTCGAGCTGGTCAGGGTCCCCTTCCTGGGGGGGTTGATCCAACATGTGGTGGAGGACAGCTGGAGGTCAGGTGAGTCGTTACCTTAGTCCTAGGTGTGTTCTTCAGGCTCCGAATAGGTGTATTTCTTCATAGCGTTAGCAAACCGGCGACAGACCCCTCTTCAGAGGCTCCGCCCGGTCTTTATTTGCCTTTTACATCTAAGCTGCTGTACACAGACCAGATGTGGACATGTCCCCGCTCTCATTTGTCCGTCCTACAGTGATGCACCAGCTCTGACTTTTGCCAATGCCAATGAAAATTTCTGAGGGTTACACCACAGATCTTATTCAAGCCTCATCACAGACATGCAGGGGTGTGACAGAAGGTGTGAAACAATAATAGGGCTCAGTGCAATAGAAAGCAGTTGTTTTCTTCTTCGGACATTAACAGTTTTCAGGAGTCGTACAGGCAGCTGGCAGCCCATATGAGGAGCAGTTGTTGAGCCCCACTTTTTGTGGGCTATGGACTTGTGTGTGGGAATGTGGATTGTGCTGTTAAAGTTTGTATTAAAGTTTAGGGACAGGTTACGTTTATTTGATTGGATTTGAAAAGTCATGCTTGAAGTCACCGGATGAGGAACATCTAGATTTTTAGTAAACGATTTTTAAGAAACGCCACTGGAAAGGTGGTTGTCGTGCAGAACCCCATTAGAAACCCTGAAGGGTAACCGTTTGTCTCGGTCCAGTACAACGATCCCCTGGCTTCACATGGACGGAACGCCTACCCAGACGCTTCTTTACACCGTCTCTGAACACTACTGAGTTCTGTTCGAAATCACAATTGATTCCATCCACTAAGTACCAACTTACTCAGTGAACTTTATGCCATGTCTTTGTCTTCTCAGGGGGATTTCGAAACCTCCATACCATTGTCTTTGGAGCTTGCAAGAATGCTCTGGAAGTGGACTTGGGCTACCTCATCATTACTGCTGCCCGCAGGTATTTTGCCACTCATCACTTTGTTCGATGAACTGCTAGGGGAAAAGGCAGTTTAAGAGTGGAGCATGTCAAACAGCGGGATCAGTCCGGTACCAGAGCCACCAATACAGGGCCCAGTGGAGCTAAAAGCACTGACATGGCCTCCATGATTCACTCCATCTCCTCTTCAGATTCAGGGTCATATATATATTCGAGAAGAAGCCATTTACTTCAGCGATTCCAGACGATAGTAAAAAAAAAAATTACTCAACTTGTTGTACAGCATGTAGGATGCAGATAGCTAGGCTCTCATTTGGTAGCTGTTAGCTAATCGGAGTCAAGCAGATTAGCATGTTAAATGTTGGTGAGAACTGGTGCAAATCGAGGTGAGTCTTCCAGCAGGCTTTTTGCCATGCTAGAATGGCTTGAAACAAGATAACAAAGGCATTTTCTCCACAAAAAAAATGTTAGAGGCCTTTGTAGAACTTCAGAAATAACCTCCGGAAGCCCTGAAATATGTGTGGCAGTGCACCTTTAACACGCTGGAGAAAAGCTGTTAAAAAACCTTTCAGAGAATCCGTCACCTCCCTGTTTATGTTTTTACCAGGCTTCATGAGCTGCGTATCCAGCCCTCTCTGACAAAAGATGGAGTCTTCTCAGCTCTGAAAATGGCTGAGCTGGAGTTCCCTCAGTTCGAGACCCTCCACCTGGGATATGTGGACGAGTTTCTTCTGCAATGTTCGTGAGAGAAAACTATACCCCTCGTACCCCCCCAGCTCAGGAGCTAACCGGCTTTAATGTTGCATACGTGCTTCTCATGTTTAAATACAGGTAAGATGAACCATTCAGAGCTGGTGAAGTACGGTCTGGCCGATGTCATCGAGAACCCCGGCATCATCACTGACATCGGCATAAAGGTGGTGAACGAGGTCTTCACCAACATTAAGTATCTGCACATCTACAACTGTCCACACCTGCACAACCCTCACCACTGGATCACAGGTACCCCTCCGAGGCTCTCGACCGGTCGAGCGTTGCGCCACGCCGCGGAACCCGCGCCGTAAGCTCTGCCCCCCCCGTTTCTGATCTCAGATCAGTCCCGATGGAGCCGGCTGGTGGACCTCACTCTAGTGCGTTGTCACGCCATCAAGCTGGAGTCTTTTTCCCACTTCATAGAGTTACTGCCCTGCCTGGAGTTCATCTGTCTCGACCAGATGTTTAGAGAGCCACCCAAGGTAAGCCGCACGATTGTAGCGTCTGCTTATTGCGACTTTTTCCGCCATATAAATGAGCAGTACGGGCAAATCCTGTTAAAGGTGGCCATCGTTGTAGTATATCTGTTGGAGGTTAAGCAGCACAAAGCTAATCTTATGAATGCACTTTTTTTTATTGAGTTTTATATGCATTTCACTTGTACAAAGAGACAATGATCAAAACAATAACATCCATAAAATGAAAAGACACACTTTCCACAAAACATTTCACATACCTTACTCACTTACTAGATAAAACACAATAAAACACAGCAGTTTTAAGTTGATTGTGCACTTTGACGTTTAAGAAACTGGATTCCATACAGGTCTCCAACTCTGCAGTCCTTCCCCTGGTTAAGTCAGCCTTTCCAACCTAATCCAAAATGCTATCTCCATGATTGTACATTAAAACACAATGCAATGATTTCCAAGTATTTTCAACTTGGAATCATTCAAATATTACTCAAAGACACAATATTTTATTTTTAATTAACATGAATTATTGGATTAAATTCGATTAATTTGGGAATCAGATGAGATAGATCCGGGTGGGTGTGAGTGCTCTAAGATGCATAATACAGCATTCCCCTGTGTGTACCTGTGTGTGTGTGTCTGTGTTAGGGCTGTGCCAGGGTGGGCCTGAGCGCAGGGACCGGCATTGGCGTGTCCTCGGCACTGGTTAGCAACCAGAACTCCAACAACGACAACAACAACCACCACCACCACCCTAATGAGGCCAACCAGCCTCCTGCTCCTCCACCTGTCGTCAACAACAACAACAACAACCAGCAGCAGCCAAATGGCAAGTCTGTACGACAGCCCACACTCGGCCTGGTGTCTTCCTTTACATCTTCTTGCTTTGTTTTTGTTTTTCCCAGTGGGGATACAGGGCTGTATGTTGTGTGCTTCTCTAGTTTAAGTGCACTCACAAGTCCTACTTATGCCTGAAACGAGAGCCCAAATCCCTGAGGAGTTGAAGAGTTGGAGTTGCCAATGCAAGACCAAAGCTAAATGACTAAGTGTACAGGATTTCTTCCCTTAAATGGGAATGTGAGATGCATGACGAAGCAAACTCGCAAGCTTTCCGCACACACCGAGAAAGTTCCTGAACATATTCCACACTCGAGTGCTACACTACTAGGCTTTGACACTTTCCAGCAGGCTTGTCACGACTTTGGCTGGCCGGTCACAGAGAATTAAAAGAAATCTTCACACAGAAGTGCCCCAGCGTCTTTCAGCTCGCTGTTGTCTGCCGCGTTATTCATGCAACACGTTCTCAGTCAGTCTGAAAATCTCTTGTTGGTTTAGTTAAAGTTCAGCCTTCAGATATTAAATCACCCCCATGTTGTGTGTTCAGATTATTTTCCATGCTTTAAATCTGGATTTTCCTCTTTATTTTTTTATAGCTTCAGACTTGCATCATTGCTCATACCACATGCTATTGCCACCGCCATGCCAATCTGTTTTGTTGGGAAAACCTGCTCAGTTTTTTTTTCTTTTTTTCTCGTATTTCCATTAGAGGCTGGATCCTGCTAACAGTCACAGTTTTAGCACCTACTCAGCTGGGTTCCAAGTGGGCTGAGTGGGGCTGGCAGAAGGGCATCATGAGATTCGTTCATCTCCTTCACATGAACCCGGTCCATTTTTAAAAAAGTGGAAACGGCAAACGTTGTATTTTAATTATTTCTTGGACCATAAACATTGTAAATGACACAAATTACGTCAAAACTGATCTTTCTGTTGGGACCTAATTTGTAATGGGAAAACAGCCTAAACCCACCGGTGGGTGGTTAGGAGAGCAGATGACCGATTACTTACTCATGGAAAATCTCTTGAGTCTCATCTGACCAGAGCACGTCCTCTCACACGTCTGAAACGTTGTCTGATCAGTGGCTGCTTTTCTGATGACTTTAATTTGGATCATGTGGCTTCAGCTACATGGGTTCCGCCCGTGTCTCCATGCCACAGCACTTCCTCAGTGTTCTCTAGATGAGGAGCCATGGAAAAGAACCAACCAAAGCAGAGGCGCGGGCTCACTGAATAGCAGAATTATCAGCCTTTAGCCCTCTACACCTGTAAAGCCTTCTGTTGTGGCGGGCAGATACCTCCCAGGAACAGTGAGACTTCGAACCCAGTGTCTTTCCAGTCAAACTTAACGGAGAGCCTCCATTAATTCGGTCAAAATATGAACGGGGTTAGAGGTTTGACGAACCTCACAACATTATGGATAGCCGTCTCCATGTTGGTCTGTAAATGCACCCTGGCCCTCTACAGCCCATCCCAAGCACATAATACCAAAATCCTCTTTTTATTTAAACAATCTCTCCCACTTTTTCATTTTTCTAAAGGTCCCTTTCTTCCCACAGAAGCAGTGGAGATAAACAGGCTGGAAGAAGAGGATGATGAAGAAGAGGAGGTTGCCTATCAAGAAAGAAAAATGGGGGATGAGCCTCAGAGAGCGCAGAAACAAGCTGAAGGGGGGGTAGAAGAGGGGAGGGCTGACGCAGCAGGACCCAGCAATCCAGCCGGAGCATCGCAGGCTCCTGATGAGGAGCAAGCCGGTCAGTACTCTCTTTTACCAAAGTAAAGATAAAACGGCTCACCTCCAACTTTATCATTCTAAAGGTCACCGTTACCGCATTTTCCCCCGTCCGCCCCGCCCCCAGGTCCGAGTGGTCTGAGCCCGCAGTGCAGACCGGCGGGTTCGGCCGCTCCCAAGCCGCCGCTGGTCATCTCGGACTCGGACAGCGAAGAAGAGGAAGGCCTCGTTTCCAGACTAGCGCCGGCGTCCTGTCAGCAGCAGCAGATGTCCTGTACGAAAGGTGTGAAGCACGTCCCAGGAAGAGTTCTGAAAACTCACTGGGAAGTTTGTTTCCATTGTTGGTTTGAGACTTTTAAATTTTAGCTGTAGCAGTAGTTGGATCAGCTGAAGGTCCAGATGCATCTCTCAGGTCTTGTGTCAGGTCTTTGCTGGATTTTTTCTTCTTTCTTAAGGACAAAGTGTCTTTGTTTTGTTTTTTTGTTTTTTAGGCCCTAAAGTCGGGAAGGGGTAAAAAAAATAAAATAAATTACCATGCAGGTCGCAGTTCAAGCGCTGTAGTGACCCCCGACAGCTGAAAGGCGACTGTGACTTGCCGAAGTCCTGTCGAAAGAATGAAAAGAAATCAATTTGAAACAACAATACCGATGGAGGCAAACCCATAATTATTTTTTTTATTCAAACTCTTTCTGTACCAGCATGTTCCATCAGGGAGTCTAGAGCCTGTCCAGCTGTCGATGAGATCCAGCTCAAGTCATTAAATGGAACCAGCTAGAATGGATCATGCTGACCTCACCCAAACAAACTGTCCTAATGCTGACAAGACGATTTTGAAATGTGTTCCTTTTTTCTTAGCTTCAGTAAGTTTTTATGAATTAAAGATACACGGTGTAGGAATGTCTCCATCTGATGGTGAAAATGTATTTAGCGTTCTAACAAATCGTGCTCTCTAGTGCCTTGCGTTTTCAAATGGGTGTTGGAACTACGATAGCCGTAATGCATCAAGAAGTAATGACAACATGACTTCCACGTCATTGAGTGTGAGCATGTAATTACTCTTGCAACAAGATAACGAATTACGTTGCCATGTGACTCTGGCTCTGAAGGAAAACGCGTTGTGGATTAGCTAGACTGGTAGACTAGTGCTTTATGTCCCTCTCTGCGATTATAGTTTTTCAAAATGGTGGAACACCATTGAAACCTCTGTGGACTTACCCGTCCTGTGTATATATAGATACGATATTCATTGCTTATGAGGAGAAGTCAGATCATTGCAGAGGTCATTTTACACCAAACGAGGACACATTTATTAATGAAGGGAATTATTTTAGCTTGTAAAATACTATACAGTGTCTCCTTAAGGATAGGTTGAGCATCCAGGTTTATTTAGGACCATGCATAGTTTTGAGAGACCGTGTGACGTAAATGTGTTTGTTACCAGGTAAAGGAAAGACTCCTCTGCGACGAAGCAACAACCCAGCCGTACCTCCGAAGGCTCCGGCGCCGCCGAGCAGCTGTGAGAAGGGCTGTCAGGTGACCAGCGAGCAGATCAAAGCGGACATAAAGGCGGCCACAGAGAGCAGCAGGAGGACAAGCGGCAAAGCGGTTCCCCTCGAGGCCGGGGAGGCCGACGGCGGGATGCTGTCCTCATCCAGGCCCAGAGTGAGGCCGGGCCCCGGACCCATGAGCAGGGAGGCCTCCGCTGCCGCCCCGGCGGTACCCGCGGGGGGATGCGCGAGAGGTCCCCAAAGGTCCGCCCTGGGGTCCGCCCGGGCCAACGACTGCACCCCCCCCGAGGCCCAGCCGGGGCACGGCGCCCCGAGGGCACCCAGGCAGCAGGACGCACACGAAGATCCGCAGCTGGCCGCAGCCAGAGCCGCCTCCCTCACCGGTTTAGGCTCCCAGCACAACGCAGCCGGCCCAGACTTTGTTCCGAGGCGGCCCATGACCCGATCACGCACCCGCACCTCTTCTGTGCCTTTGTTACCCGAGACAGGTAAGATGGAGGCTACACCTCGAAGCTGTGGAACCCTGGACCTTTTTAATGGCGTCGGGACTCCTGTGAAAGTCCCAAATGCCTCTGCCACTTTCCAGCTGTGGTGTCTATCTGGTCTGGTCCTGCATGTTGGAGATGTTTCCCTGCTTTTACACCTGACTCGGATTAAGTCAAAGGTTGATCCAGGTCTGCTGAGGTCACATTGATGTGAATCGGGCATGTAGAAATGGGGAGCATCTAAAAACCAGCAGGACAGTGGCCCTTCAGGCCCCCAATCTGCTTTGAAGACTGTAACATTCCCTGGTTCCCTAACTTTGTGTAGGACCCGGGAACACCAGTGGCTGGACTGACGCTATTCGTAGCACTAGCCCTCTGTAGCTTCGGTTAAACCCATCTGTGGCCATATTATTATTATTGGCAGTGAAACATGGAAGTGATTTTTGTTTGTGTTTTTTTCCTTTTGTGTAGATCTCTCAAGAACCAGGCCTCGGGTGGCAGTCAGAAAAAAACGAATGACTGACAAATCCACCAGCACCTCAGACCCAGTCACTGAGGATGACCATGTCCAGGTACGCCAAACAAAATGCTGCTGGTTCCAGAGGGGATCTAACAACAAAGTGGAAGGAGACCTCAGGCCAATGGTGCCTACAGCTGGGTGCCTCCAGCTCAGTCTCCCATTTATGCCGGCAGCAAATTTCTTGTGTGACTGAAGCTATAATTGGCTTTAATCTGATGACCAAAAGTTGAGTTGCATGCCAACTCGTAGGAAGCAGAGGGGGGGGGGGCGTCATATTTGACCGTCCGGTGTGGGTACCGAGTTGGAGCCAGTCTATAGGAGGGAGAAGTACCCCCAAAGGAAAGACTCGTGTCCATTCTTGGCACCAAGTTGGCCCTGTGTAGAAAGTGTTGGACTCATCCTCTGTTGTTTTCATGGAAAGGGTGTCCAGGTGTGGTCAGAGGCATCAGGTGGGGAACCTTAAGGCCAGGTCTCAAACCCTGACATTCCTCTCCCCACTGGCCTTCCCCCTTTCCTCCTGAGGCGTCCCAACCCTAGATGGGCTATATAATCCCTCAAAGATCTCTGGTTCTAGTTCTACCAACCTGGAAAAACCTGCAAAAGGAGGAACGAAGAGACATTTTTACCAGATGAAACTCTCATTGACTCCTTTTTGTACTCGTAGCTCCCCGGACGGTACAATTCTTTCCCCCAGTCTCTAAGGCTGAGCCCACCCCCCCCTTCAGTGGATACAAGCGGTTTAAAGGAGTTTTCTTTATTCTTTATTTTACTTCCTATGGCTTTAGCCGAACGAAACCTTTGCTTCCCCGAATCCTGTAAAAATGCAGGTAACATCTTTTATCGCAATGATATCCTGAGGTGGCTTTTCTTGTCCAGGTTTTATCTTTGAAGAGCAAAAACCTGGTGGGCATCACGTTGATCAACTGCGGAATCACTGACCTGGTCCTCAAAGACTGTCCCAAGATGATGTTCATTCACGGTAAGCCCACTGCTGCTTGTTACAGTGCCGCCCCCGTCCCAGTGAGGTCCTTTTACTGAACTTTAAAAAAAAATCTGCAAGTGGACGCATTGGCCTTGGGAAATTCTGCTGTAGTTAAAAAGAAAGCGATGGTGTGACTTCTTTAGGGGATCGCTTTTTGATTGTTTATCGATGGTGCACAGTGTTTGTATCTTTTCTCTTTCTCTGAATGTTCACAATATGCAAACAAATTGAGCTTCTCCAGTTATATTGCATAATATTTTAAGTATATCATTAGCTAAATTCATTTTCTCCCTTTATGAATGTGTCCTCATTTAATGTAAAATAACCACTGCAATGATCTGAATTTTCCTCATAAGGAAGAATTTCCTATCTCTATATACACAGGACGGGTAAGTCCACGGAGGTTTCCATGGCATTCCGCCATTTTGAAAAACTATAATCGCAGAGAGGGACATAAAGCACTAGTCTGGCTATTTAGCTAATCCACAACGCGTTTTCCTTCAGAGCAACATGACTGAAACTTCGCTATCTTGTTCGAGGAGTAATTACATGCTCTGAAGTAATGACTCAATACTCCGAGTTCCTTTAAAACCGAATCCCACCGTCTCTGTAGCTTTTACACCGGGTCACAGGTCCTTGGTCTCCATATTTCCTCTTGTCTTTGCAGCCACCAGATGTCGAGTGCTGAAGCAGCTGCGAATAGAGAAAGCACCCATAGTGAACCGCTTTGACTACGCTCAGTGCAAGAAGCTGGACATGATCCAGGTTCTGGATCAGATACTGAGAATGCCCCCCGAGAGGAACCGCATAATCTACATGCGTCCCATGCACCAGGTAGGGAATGTGTAACGCCAGCGCTGTGTCCACGCTCTCCCCTACACCGATCAAAGGGTTTAGTTTGGGCCTGCTCCTTAGGGTAGTGGAGGCACTTTAGTTCCGAAAGAAATCAGATCCGCCAAACCAGCTCGGTGAGCAGTTTACATCTAACTGTAGTGGAATAAGTTATGACCGGAGGCCTACATCAGCCCAGGGACATGGGGAGATGTCCGGTGACCAGCATTTTTTTTTTTTAAATGACAAACCTCATCACCCGCTCATATGAAACTTACTCTCTTTCATTTTTCTATACGGCTCAGAACATCCGTTTTTTTTCCTCCTGACTTTCCTTTGCCGGTGTCCATTGCTTAACAGGCGCTGCAGCGTTTGAGGACCTTCAAATGAAGCAGCGGCCTCACTTTGCTTCTCTCTCTCTCTCTCCTCTCTTAAGATTGACTCGGTATCTCTGGAGCGCCAGCTCTTCCAGGGACCGTACCCCTACCACATCGCCATAGTGCACGAGTTCAGCAGTCCTCCAAACATCCGAAACAAAGTGCGCATTCGCAGCTGGATGGACACCATAGCCAACATCAGCCAGTGAGTGACTCCGGGCGTGGCAGAGCAGTGTGCGCTGAGCAGCATACACACACTGGGGGACACACACTTGGGGACACACCAGGGAACACACACACTGGGGACACAGTGGGACACACACACACCGGGGACACACCGTGAGGCGCACACACCGTGTGACCCAGTCCCCCCAGTCATACATCACCAAGGGGACACACTGGGGGGGACACCGGGGGACCCACTGGGGTCACACTGGGGGGTATACAACAGGGAGACACTGGGGGCACACACACCGGGGGAAACGTTGCATGTCAGAGGGGTTCCGGCACGAACAGACAAAGCATCCACACACAGGGGGGGGGGGGGGGGCAACATGTTCTGGCTTTTTTTCAGGATAGTTAGCCTCTTGTAGTCATTTCTGCTGGCATGTGAAATGGTGTCATAGCAACACTCACCGTGCTAGTTGCGTCTAACTCTTCGCCCCCAGTCCCCATCGTATGAGCCCTCAACCGATGTCTTTGGGTTTGTCTCTCAGGGAGCTTATCAAGTACGAGTTTTTCCCCGAAGCCACTCGGACAGAGGACGACGTGAAGAAGCACCCCAGGTACCCCTGGGGGCGGGACATCTACACACTCGAGGGTAAAGTAATTACACCGCAACAGATTTCATTCTTCCCTTGTCTGCTTTTTGTGTTGCTGTGGCTCTCTTTGTGTTGCAAAGTGACTCAGATGCTATAACACGAGAAAGATCCGGCCATACCTAACCCAACACGCTACCCAGCTCCTGGTGCAGCATATGGTTATCTCCCGCCTTGACTATTGTAACGAGCTCCTGACCGGTCTCCCAGCCTGGACGGTAAAACCATTACAAATGATCCAGAACACGGATGTGTCTTGGCTTCAATCAGCCCAAAAACTCTCACGTCCCCTCTCTGTTCACTGAGCTTCACTGGTTACCCCTGGCTGCCTGTGTTAAATTCAAGTCCCTGATGCTAGCTTACAGAGTGCTTAAGGGTACGGGTCCCGTCTACTTGAATCCTCTGGTAAAGGCTTTTGTCACAACCCGGTCACTCCGGTAACCTATGGATTGTGGTCTAGCAGTGCTGCACCACGTTTAAGACAATCCAGACTGTTTTCAGGTGTTGTTCCAAGATGGTGAAATGACCTACCAAGTGCTACAAGAACAGTAGCGTCACTGTCTATCTTCAGGAAACTCCTAAAGACCCACCTCTTTAAAGAGCATCTCTTATCATAACTCCTCCCGATACTTCTATACCCCCTCTACTACTCTTTCTGTGGGTCCCTCTATCTCTTTGCTGTCACCACTGACTCTGACTAGGGATTTTTTTCTTTAGAGAAGTTATTGTCAAATTGATGATAACTGTAATATTGTGTCTACTGTAAGTCGCTTTGGATAAAAGCAATCAGGAAACATAAACATATCTAGGGTTATCAAGTAAGCTCTACAGCTGCTCCGAGCAGCGGCACGTGGACAGCATACATACGAGAAAAGAGACATGTGCTCCGTGCACATCTGCATAGCGAGCTGGTGCTCAAACCCAGGCACGGCCACTGTGGGGGGCGGGCAGCAGCCAGGTCTCTGGGTCCTCCATGCACAGCCATAAATAAACCCACCCAGACGAGCGCATGCCAGGCCGTGCACATGCACAGGACGCTCGATAGGTATCCGTGCACACGATCTTTGAGTATCGGTGAAGTTTCTGCAGCTGCAGAACATCCAGAATACTGCTGCTCCAGCTCTGACCAGAACCAGGAAAAAAATGACCATATATGTCCAGTTCTCAGGGCTCTGCTCTGGCTTCCTGTCACTCCAAGAACAGACTTTAAAGCAGCTCTGTTTGTGTTCAAGTCTCTTCATGGTCTAAAGTCCATCTCTGACACATTAGAGCCATGTGAACCAGCTCGGACTCTGAGAACCTCAGGTTCTGGTCCCCTGATGGTGCCCAGAGTCAGAACCAAACAAGACGAAGCTTTGTTTCAGTTCCATGCTCTTAAGATCTGAAACAGTCCTGGCCCCCGACTCTGACAATGTGTAAATCCAGGCTGGAAACGGTTCTGTTTATCTGCACCCTTCACTTTTTATCTGTCTAATTTATTTAGTTTTTCCTTTTTCTTTATTTGTTTTTCTGATTTTAAATTCTTTGCGAAGCACTTTGAATTGTCTTGTACACAAAATGTGCCGCACAAATAAACATGCCGTGGCTAATGGAATGTGGAGGCCTTGTGTGTGTGTGTGTGTTTGTTTTTGTGTGGCTCCAGCTTCAGGCTGAAGTCACGGTGCACATGTTGACGTGGTCCTCCCGCTGTGCTTCAGGTGTGGTGGACGGCGCCCCCTACAGCATGATCACAGACTTCCCCTGGCTCAGGACCCTGAGAGCAGCCGACCCCAACAGCTACGCCCGCTGCGACTTTGAGGACGACGAGAACAGTAAGTGCCCTCTGTTCCGGGGTCCGACACACTCCGGATAACTAAGCGCGGCCTGTACATTGATCGATTGTTTGTGGGGCAAAACATTAAATCTTTTCAACATTTAGCACCAGGATTTACAACTAAGACATCACCTTAAGACACATAAGGAATGGGAAATATCTGTAAGATCCCATAAACTGTAAGAAGAATTGCTAATGGCATATTCAGGGAGAGACAAAAAAAGGGGCTGTATTGAAACTGTACAAGGTGCAGGAATCTAACAACAACAATTTAGACATCAAGGAAAAACAGAAATTAGAAGCTAATAAGGACATAAGGTAACTAGCAGTCCAACATGGAGGCAGTTTGATTGGAAAATCAAAATGAGGTATTTTGACACTCCAATTGTCACATGGATGTACAGGAATTCTTCAGACAGGTGTTTTAAAGGGGATGTTGGCCGGTGGGGGACTTCACACATATATTCTGGGACTGCCCAAAGATTTGAGATTGTTAGAAAAATATCCAAAGGGAAATAAACAATTTTATTTTAGGTATAGGTTTTGGCTTAGATCCAACACTCTACACACGGGGTGTAGCTCCAGAGGATGCTGTAGATAGGAATTTAACATCATTACTAAGAGCCCTGCTTTTAATGGCAAACAATAACAGTGGCTAAGTAGCGAATGGAAAAAGAGAGTAAGAAGTGTGTTATTCATGGATAAAATTACAGCAACCCTAAAGCTCAAGTCAGATAGGTTTGATAAAAAATGGTTATCAATCATAAAGACGAGGCCTGGACTTTAATCCCCCCCATTTCTCATTTCTGATTTGTATTGATTTGGTTTAAGATATTTTTTCACACTTAATTTAGTAATTCTTGTAACACTTAATGCAGTGCAGTTTACGTTAAACGTATGTATCCTAGGTTACGTATCGTTCGTGATTAACTTGACAAGTTAGTTTGTATGTTAGTTTAGTCAGAACAGGACAGAACGATAAAAGCATCCTCCAGTATGTGTTTTTAAAATATGTGTTGTGTGTATGTATAGTGATTTATTAAATCTGAAATGAATAAAAATGTTTTTTTAATTCTGCGGCCTGTAAACCGCTAACTCTTCCGTCTGTGTTGCTAGCCACCATCTACGCCCCCCGGCGGAAGGGTCAGCTGTCGGCCGACATCTGCATGGAGACCATCGGCGAGGAGATCTCCGAGTGCAGGCAGAGCCGGAAGGGAGTGTTTCAGCGGGTGGTGGTCCTCTTCCTGCACCACTGCGACACGCCGGGAGAGCCCGTGGACGACGACTACATCTAGGCCCAGGTTCCCCACCCACCGCATTTCCAGCCCCGCCCCCCTCCGCTGAGATTCCTGCCGGCCGTGGTCGGACACGCCGGCTCAGACGGAGGTCAGGGCTTCGTGGGGTCAGCCTGCGACCGCTTTGCTCCCGTCGGAGGGGAACGGTCAGAGTGTCGGGAACATTCCGAGCCCCCACGCGAAGGCACTAAGGTGGGACGGGCGTTAAGGCCAGAAGCCCTCCTCCACCTGTAGGCTTCCGCTCGGCAGCGCTTTGTTTTCCAGCTAAGAAAAGCGTTCCGATGCCACTTCTCACCGTTGTCGCCCCCCACCCCCATCCTCTTAGCGTGTTCCCGACAGGAAGCAGAGAGTCCTTACTTAGCCTCTGCCCGCGTGGGTTGATGGGATACTTCTGAGGGATGGATGCCGTGATCAAACGTCACTTGTCGGAGGCGCACTCTCAGCCGCGTTGAATGTGGGTTCTGCGCACGTTCAGCCTTTTGTTTTTTTTTAGTATTATTATTATTTTTTATAACCCTGCTGGGCCCATTTCACCACGGCCTAAAAGGGCCCAGCAGACCTGCTGCTCAGAGCCAGAACACAGTGGCCCTCTCGCCTTGGTATCCATCACGAACTACGACGTCCAAGTTTTTGACGTCGGATACGCTCGACGCTGCCTCAGTAGACCCGCTCATGCCTTTTCCGCGTCCTGCTCAATTTTTTTGTTATTTACGACGATCAAACGAACTTCAAAGAAGAACCTCGCTCCTCAGGATATGTGTGTATGTCGGTGAACAGAAATGAGTTAATTCCATGGCTGGATTTGGGGGTTGGCTCTCAGTCAGTTGCAGATAAAGATTCTAAATAGATTACATATGATTATTGTACACTTCTTATGAAGTTGTCTCTGTTTGAAAAGACACTGCCGATATGCATCCAGAAAAGTAAAAGAATGGAACATAATCCTTGTTCGGTCCTTATTCAAACAGTCCGCTGCTCATTCCTCCTCAGAGGTGGGTTTCTTTTCAGCACGCGTTGCCGTGTGGGTCAGGTGTTACAGAACCCGGAGTCAGTAAGTGTTCTAACGCTTACAAAGTCAAACATAGAGCTATATGCTCACTTTGCACCTTTACAGAAAGACTGAGGCCTCTCAGGGAAAGAGAACCAGGTAACGAGTGCAAAGTCAAACTCATCAGTGTGGTTTCAGGCTATATGGATTCTGTAAGAGTCATTTATTGTCCCTCTTTCTGGTTGCTTTCCGCAAAAAAAAAAAAGCTCCATTGTTATGGTATTTGTGGTTACCTCTGGATGAAAGCTTGAAAGCTGACGTCCAGGTTTGGGACCATAAAACATTTCTTTAAAGCGACATTGTGTAGTATTTTATTAGCTAAAATCATTTTATTTATTTATAAATGTGTCCTCATTTGGTGTAAAATTACCTCTGCAATGATCTGACTTCTCCTCATAAACAAAGAATTTCCTATCTGTACATACACAGGACAGTAAGTCCACGAGGTTTCCATGGCGTTCCGCCATTTTGAAAAACTAGAATGGCAGAGAGGGACATAAAGCACTAGTCTGCATGTCTACCTAATCCACAACGCGTTTCCTTTTATAGCCACAGTCACCTGACTGAAATTTCTTTAAAATAATTACAAACCTCATCACCCCGAGAAAACTGGATGATGTGGAAGTCCTGTTGTCGTTACTTTCTGATGCTTGACGGCTACCTTATGCGCAACACCCATTTGCAAACAGGAGGCACTAGAGAGCATGATTTGTTAAAACGCTAAATATAATTTCACCGTTAGATGGGAAAAATTCCTACACCGTGTACCTTTACAGTGTCTGCTCTGAGGAGCTTCATCCTGGAACAGGTAGTAGCTATAGAAAACCTTTCCCTGAACCTCTGTTCTTCGTGGTCACAGTGCCTTTCGTTTATATGGCAGGGGTGTCACCCTTTGGTTCTTGGGGCCGCCGTCCTGCAGGTTTCACACGTTTCCCAACACTCCTGACACCCATTTCAGATGTTAGCTGTGGACACTGATGGAGATGTAAGAAATCTGTCTAAAAGGATGAGCAGACGTTACTTTTATGTGGGAGACTTGCATCAAACCCCCGTCAAAGGGACGGATCCACATTTAGATTTCCACTAAAACTTCTGCTTGAAACCAGAGAAACTAGCCAAAGTTATCCCATTCATCGTGCTATCATCACCCCGGGTGTACCTTTTATTACCGAGTGGACTTTTTATCATTTCAAAATGAGGATGATATATGAGGGAGTCGGTGGTGTGGTGGTTAGCACCCCACAGCAGAAGGTCCTGGGTTCAAATCCCGGCAGAATCAGGATATTTCTGTGTGGAGTTTGTATGTTGTCCCCGTGTCTGTGTGGGTTCTTTCCGGGTTCTATGGCTTCCTCCCACCATTCAAAAACCAGCATGTTAAGTTAATTGGACATTCCAAATGTCCCTTAGGAGTGAGTGTGCTTGGTTGTTGGTCTCTGTGTGACCCTGTGATGGACTGTCCAGGGACTGTCCCCCCCCCGTGACCCCATTAGGGAATAAGCAGTTACGATATTAGATAGATATATGAGGGAATTAGGATTACTACCAGACAAAGCAGCGGTAGTCCCTTTTTTTTCTTCTTCAGGTCTTGTTTTACGGGTGAGTCTTGACAGAGGCCGCAAGTGCTAACCTGCACATTTTGTTCTGGCTCTGGTTCCGCTCATATTTGCTCTTCCTGCTTTGACAGGGTTTGGAGGACACCGAGAGCGAGCCGTGCGCCGTCTTCCCGGTTCACCTACGCTCTCACACAATGTTCCAGTTGGTCCCAGTGTTCCGCCGCGGCTGTCGGGGACTGTAAACAAAGTGAGACTGTCCACAGCTCCCGCTGCTCCGTCCAAACGAAGCGCGCTCGCACACTATCAAAACAACCTGGACAGTTGAAATAAGGCTTTCAAACGAGATATGTTTCACATTTCTTAAGGGGCAGGAAGGAAGAAGGTGACGTTCTTCTCATTTACAACATTATCAGATAGAAAAGCTGAGTCTGATGACACACAGAAGCACCTCGTGAAGCTGGAACTGCTAGAAAAACGGGTCCAGGTCAGTCCAAGGAGTCCAAACTCTGCTCAGACATGTGTGCCTTTGAATCTCAGTCCTGAGGATTTCATAAAATAAAAAAAATTCTATCATGGAGATGGTTGATGGCTTCTCTCCTGCTGTTTCCACTGAGCTTTTACTGAGGACAGCAGCTTTAGAGGGAACCTTAGGACCAACAAACAGCTTTGGGCCTATAGAGGGAGGAGAGGTGCATCATAGGAGTCCCCATCCCAGCAGTCTGGGCCTATAGAGGGAGGAGAGGTGCATGATGGGAGGTAGTGGCAGAACCCATTCTCTCTTTATGCGCTGATGTATAAAAAGCAGCTTTCGTCTCTCAGACCTTCTGCTTGACTCTGACTCTGCAAACCCAGATAGAACTGTGAGGGAGGAGATCACGTTTGGGCGGAACTCGGTCGGATGGACGCTGGAAATCGACTCCTCAACTTCTCCTTTGACCTCATCTACGGCTCAGCCCGTCAGTGTTTGTCAGAGGAAACGCCATTTAGCCTTGGGTCACAAAAACGGAAAGTGAGGAGTGTTTGGCGGAAAGCGTTTGACATCGACCTCAGAGGAATTCTGGCCCCCTCTAAAGCGATTGTTTTGATGTCTGTGAATATGAAATGGCAGATTTTAAGTGTGGTGTAACTGGAATGCAGATAGCCGTTCGACCAGGAATTCATCCTTTAGTTCAGCTTGGTCCGTGCTCTGCTTCAATTTTCTGTTTCCTGTGACAAGATATCTATTTAGTTTCTATAAATAGATGTAAGTTTTATATCGCAGGCAGATTTTGGAGACTTTAATTCTATGAACCAAAAAAGAATGCTTATTTTTCCTCATCAGATGGTTATCAATTTTTATAAATTCATATGATGTGATTTTCTGGAATTTTCTTTGGGATTCTGTCTTTCACTGTTAGAATGTACATATGATTAAAGTTATAGATCGTTGCATTCTTTGTAAGTGGGCAAACCTGCAAAATCAGCAAGGGGTCAAATACTTATTTCCCCCACTGTATATATGTATGAATAGATAATGTATGTGTGTGTGATAATGTATGTACATGTGTATGTGAATGTATGTACATGTGTGTGTCTGTATGTGTGTTTGTGTGTGTGTGTGTGTGTGTGTGTACACATGCAGGTTTGCATGTAAAACCAAAGAAGACGCTGTTTTAAACCCTTTCAGACTTTCGGTCTCATCAACATAATAGAGTTAATCTATCCTGGGTTCAGGCCCACGCTTTTTGTGTAAAAACTTTTTGTGTACGACAGCTTAGGGTTAGGACGGCCGCAGTGGGTCTGTAACCTTAGTGGTAACTGTGTTACACTTCTAACTGCTCCATCTAAAGATAGAAATAGAGGAGAGTGTGTATATTATGCCTGCTGGCTACTACTAATAGCTCTGTCCTGTCGGGCTCTGGAAACGGGGAGCCATCTCCAAACATTACCTTATTAAGACAAAAGCTAGAAGAGGAGCCCGGCCTGCTTCTCCGGGCCCCACCAAGGGTTAACCAAGAGACACCAGGAAACACCAAACAGACAAGGGGAAAAGAGCGCACGCTACTTTGGTGGGACCAAATGCATACAGAAAAACTACAAGAAAGACGAGAGAAAAAAGGAGTGTGTGTGTGTGTGGAGGAAACCAGCCTTTTTTGCTGTGTCATAAGCAAATAAGGATTTCTACCTGGTGAACTCAGAATGTGTGCTGGGCCTACAGGAGAGGCCCAAAAACTCCAAGCTCTTCACGTTATCTCAGGGATGTTTAGGATAAGGTGATACATGCTGTGCTCAGATATGAATGGATGAGTTATGGGATTTAACCATCCATCCATTACCGTAACCGCTTATTACCTTATGGGGTCGCGGGAGGACTGGAGCCTATCCCAGTGGTCAATGGCCGAGAGGCGGGGGTCACCCTGGACCAGGGGCCCCCAAAGTCGGTCCTCGAGGGCCGCTGTCCTGCAAGTTTTAGAAGTTTCCCTACTCCAACACTCCTGAATCTGGTCAGGGTTCCCTAATCAGGATGTGCAGAGCCTTTGAGCTGATCCTCTTAATCAGAATCAGGTGTGAAGCAGGGAAAACTTCTAAAACCTGTGGGATACCGGCCCCTCGAGGACCGGAGTTGGAGACCCATGCCCTGGATGGTTCACCAGTCCATCGCAGGGCCACACAGAGACACACAAGGACAAACAACCACTCACACTCACTCCTAAGGGCAATTTGGAATGTCCAATCAAGCCAACATGCAGGTTTTTGGACGGTGGGAGGAAGCCGGAGAACCCGGAGAGAACCCACGCAGACACAGGGAGAACATGCAGACTCCACACAGGTCCTGGTTCCTCCGGGGTAATCGAACCCAGAACCTTCTTGACCACAGCAAATAGATAGGACCAATCTGCCAAGGCTTCATCTAAGTCTCCCACCGTTGCTTTTTGCATTTGGTTTCTTTTAATGAACCCAATCCGTATGAGAATCCTTTCACAGCTTTAAAAGTACGAATATGAATACTTTAAGGAGGACGGGTCCAGTGACCTGCGTCACTTTCCACTTTCCAGATCATCCTGCTGCATCCTAGAACATTTAGGAAGAAGTCAGTGGATATTTGTAGACTGGACCTATGAACATATATATCATATCTGAGGCCGTTTGCATCATTTCCTGGTTTAAAAGGTTTTGATTTAACGGATGTACCTGACAACAGCTGGCAGGAGACTACACCCAATAATTTTGAGCCATCGCACAGTAATAAATGAATATTTAAAAAAATCTCTTTCTTGGACTTTTTCAGACTTTAAAGGGTTCAATTATTCTGCCAGATTTGGAATTCAAGTTGTTGTTTTGTTTTGTTTTAT